AGTAATACCAAGTTTCACCATTCAGCTTACCAATTTTTTTTCCGTTAAGTAACATATTTCTATTTTACACTACCTCTCCCTACCTGAAGTTATTTATTTCGCTTACTTGGTGGTAGTACACAGAAGAAAATTCTAAAAACGACTAAATATAAATTTTATGATTAAAATCTTAAGTTATACTGTTCTCCTTGGTAATTTGACAAATCTTCGAACCTATATAAAAAAATCTTAAACTACCAATTAAGATATAAGATTGACAAATGTTACAGAGGTTTCACTGATTCGAATCTTGAAACCTTCACTTCTCTGGTGGCGTAACTTTCCTAGTTCAATTTCTTCTTCTGAGTTACACGTAACCTAGCTAACTCTAGTTCTATCATGCTATTGGTTTTGGGTTCGTCTTTTTCAAGTTGGCCTTCATCATGAACTCCCAGATGGTGGGGTGATAATTCTGGAATCTCATCGGAATCATAGTACTTATTGGCAGCCATTTCAGTAGGTATATCGAATTTACTGGTTGAAACTTTGTAGGATTTAATTTGTCCTACAAATATACTACTAGAACTGTAAACGCCATCTTGGCGATTACAGAATCTATGTGAAAACTATGGTCAGAGCAAGGACAACTTGACTTTAAATATTATCTGTTTCTAAACGTAAAAACGATTAGGTCAGTACAGTAATTAGAGGAATTACAGTCATTAGGCGAAACGAATAAACATTACGTGTCTTATCGAAATGAATAAAAATTATGAGTCACACTAATATAATAGGATAATGATGTCTTTCAATTGGTAGGTCACATGCAATAGGGATAGTTTACAGACACATCAGACCAGATCAACATGTTGGGAGCTTAAGTAACGATCTGATTGGTTAGTTATGACCATAACTAACACTACTTATGATGAACTAACACTTTAAAGGTCTCGTTCAGGTTACCTGTTTGATCTATAGCAGATGCATAAGCAAATTGTTACAATTTGATTTATTTTGTCAATAATCAGTTCGACTTTTCACTACGTTGCATGCTAACTAACGGGAAAGCTATAACCAGTTCGTCAGTGATTAGCTGCACATAAATCAAAAGATTTATCCCAGTTTCAGACTGACCAAATCATATCAACATCTATGATAATTTCATGATTTCCTTTGACGTAAAACTCTTGTTTTATAAAGTATTATATATTTAATCCATAATCAAGATCTTTCTGTATTCCGAAATCTCATGTCTACCAATATTATATTTCAAACAACTGTCAATTATGTACATGAATGATGTTCAGTATCAGTTTGACAGTTATCAAAAATCGTCAAACTGATGGTGCAGCAACGATAAGTCCTTTAGATCTTGTTCTAGTAAGTATTTTTTCATAACTAATCTTTTGAAGACCAAGTTCAAAGGAGCAACAGATGAAACGGCATATTATTTGAGGTATCTTGGCAACGTAATTATCATATCTAATATTCAGAAATATTCAAAACACATGCTAAAGATTTTCAATATGGCTCATATACAGTTTACCATAAAAAAATAGTGATAAATCCTGCTTTTTTGAAATCCTGGTGCGAAATATGGAGGATTAAATAACTTAACGCTCAATATATCGTAAATATATATGGAGTAGAACTTATCTAAATCTTACCAGCTTTTGTACATTAAGATAAGTTACTAATTAAAATATCATTCTATAAAACAGAAAGAATCTGTGACGTCAATAAACTATGAAAGTAAGAGATGAAAATCTAAAAAGTGTCTACAGAACAACATGTAACCACAAAAATTTCCTGCTAAATACAGGAGAACTGAAGAAAAGAGCCTAAAGAAACTACCGTACTATAATTTGAAGTCAATAGTGTTGAATCATAAATCAGCTGAAGACTAAAAACTACATTAATCAAGATATGTTCTAGATTCAAACTAATCGTCGAGTACAATATATGTTTGTCGAAGCAAATTATGATCATTAGATTTACCGTTCATGTTATCTCCAACTGTATATAAGTTTACATGTACCTGTAAAAGAAGTTATTTTAAGAGAATAGAAAGAAGGACCAGAGTCAGCCTATATAGGATTTATTTCAAATAGAATAAAAACTTTACTAAACTCTGTTTCAAGACACCTATTTGGTACAACCCATCAGATTGACACTTTACAACCTTTAAAGGTGATTTATATTCAATAAGTTTCATTAAATTTGCTCGGTATATGTTCATTATGATATCTATCATGAAATAAATGAATCATTTGATTCCTTATAGTTCACATTTTACCTTCACATGATCCAATCGCATCTGTTTTTGTTTTAAAAAAACCCGGAAAGATTAGCGCTTTTGTTTATTACCATAAACGTAGTCTGAAAATTCGTATAATTCTAGTATAAAAATCACATTTATTATATAGACACTTACAAAACTACTAAGATTCACCGCTCATTTACTTATTGTATTACTAACGGACGAAAAATACTGGTTTATTGAATCTTACAACATGAATTATTGAATTCCTATGAATAAACTCACGTGAACTATCATGTTTGTGAAATATATATGTATATACCAACATTTATGCATTGTTACTTATCATTAAGAACATCCAGGCTTCAAATTACGTTGTTTACATAAATAAAATATTTAATAGACAACAAACAAACTAGAAAGTGAGAAAACCTTTTATTATTCCATTCAAACATTGTCACTACTTCACATATTATTTGTACGAGGAAAAAAAACAAGCAAAGTAACACCATTGTACAACATTTCCCAATTCTTTTTCTATCAACATGCTGAAATGTGATAGTATTTGGAATTTAAGAAATAAATTTCTAATATTATTAGCCATGTTACTTATTCCTTTGTATATATCACTGGAATTATGTTTTTTTATTTCTGATCAGTATGTATTTTACAGGTAAGTCAATTAGGTCATTTATTTTTAATGATTGGATTGGTGGAATTTAAACATTAACATCGTTGGACGACGGCTCACTGGTCTAATGGTTAAGCGCTCGCGCGCGAGACCATCAGGTCCTGGGTTCGAATCTCGCGGGGGGTGGGATCGTGGATACGCACTGCTGAGGAGTCCCATACTATGAGGAAACGGTCGTCCAGTGATTCCAGGTTTTCCACGGTGATCTAGCTTCAATTGACTCATGATTTCAGCTAATGGGATTAATTTGTTTACTAGTATTTTCGAAGTTCATTTAACGATTAAAAAATATCGTTTGCATTGAAGATAGCATTTAATAAATGCGCTTCCATATCAAATTTAATAATAGACGAAACATTTGAAGTTACGATTATTTTGTTAATCCTTGTTTTTTTCCTAATTTCTACACTGGCAACTTGGACCAATGCACATATGTACCTGGTCCTACGTTGTAGCTTACTGAGTGACTAACTGACTGGAAAACAATTTTAAGTCAGATACATAATTTATTTATTAAGGCGCATATGCCATTTTAGAACATTGTCTAGAGATTAATTGGATGTAATCTTACAATATTATTTAGTTTTGTAAATTGTATTCATCATATTCAAACCATTCATTTCAATGATCTTATACCGAAAACACAAATACGTATATGATTGTCTAAATTACCTGTTTGCCTTATGTCTGGCTATCTTTGTTTTGGAGCATTAGTTTGGATTTAGAATAACAGAACCTGGTGGTAACTTATTAAAAAGTATATACTTCCTTCGTCCTTCTACCTACTAGTGTAATTTTCATCTCACAGAAGTGTTGCATAGCCAAAATACATCAGTTACTCCAACATATAATGAATAAAATGAATCATAATACCAGTTTAACAAGATGTTGAAAAAGCGGTTATGTTCTTAGTTTGTTTAAGAGATGACAGAAACGATCTACTGGATTTAATTTTTAACTACTATCAATTATTATTAATAATCAATTTCTCATTACCTCAGTGTTTCATATCTTTGATTTATTGTATAGATATATTTATATTTCCGACGAACCCTACACTGTCAGATATTGCAAATTTATGGAATACTTATGTATTAAACAAATTATGTGGTACTTATTAAGTTTTATATTTTGGCTAGCAGAATAAACAATTTGACTATAATATACTCTGAATACTGTGACAAACGTCACTCTTAACTTTTATTCTCCAATTTTAAATGATAATTTAGTTCTGTTTCTCTCATGTTTGAATTTTCGTAGTCTTATTATCTCTCCTGTTCTACTCATTTTGTTAATTGTCGCTTCTGACGATCCATTAAATTCACAATGATGTCTAATAGATGTCGAACTTAACCTACAGAAGTTCATTCGATAATCCGTTAATTCGTAATGTCCTAAACTTCGTTTAACCTACTAAACAAATCATTTATTTAAAATAATTTTTCGACGGAAAGTCTCGATGTATAATATCAGTTTCAGTTTAAAAGAGCAAAAGGCTTGAAGCCTTATGTTAGTCCATTTTGTTTTGTAAGTCCTATTTTCTTAACGTGTCTATAAATTTAGAGCTTTAAAAATGAATGGAATAATTGGATTCTCCTTGAATATGTAAATGACAGTACCGTCAAAACATTTCTACAGACATGCTGATATACAAACTAGATTTATCGGCATATACCTCACTAAAATATATTCCATATTATAAAATTTCCAATTAGAAACACAATTAAAATTTGTTCTAAATATAAAGATAAAGCATTTATTTCTATTAATATTTAGATGCGCGATAGACGAAGGTTTATCATATGACGTAAAGGATGGGAAATTTGAATTGATCGCAAGGTGAGCTGCATTATTTGAGTTCTTTGAAAAAATCAAAGTTTACCGACGTTTTTAACAAATAAGACTAGACTTGAGTCTGCATGTTGTAAATATCTTCGTTTAGATAATGATAGAAAAAACACAATAACTTTCAACTAGAAAGAATTTATTTATACGATTTCAGCCCAATGATTTACGGGATCACATTGATGACATATATTGTATATCTATGCAAAATGTCTGATTTATTAGTCTTTTTTAGACATGTTATTTTGATACACACGGCAAACTGATTAGAATATCTAACTGAAAATATAAATATTCACGGTAATGATTTGTATCTTCTATTTATATTACTAATTAGTGTATCCATGCCTTTCTTTGTGGTTGAAACGTTTTTGCTATTATTTCAGTAAATATTGGAGTGGTGGTGAATATAGCAATAAACTTCGATTTCCTCACTGTTTTTCTCTTTCAGCAATGAATCAGATAAACTTTTACTTAAGGAAGGGCAACGTAGAGCTGCTTGGATTGGTGCATGCAATCATTCAGTGAGATTATTATTTGGTTTATTGACAACAATGATAATTGGTTACATATCTGACCATTTTGGCCGTCGTTTGTCATTAGGTATCATGATCATCGGAGAAGCATTACAAATAATCACACTGAGTAGGTGTTTTTATCAAAGCATTCCATAGCCTTGTATAAGATGTAACCAAACGGCTTGACTAAACAATAAACTGTCCATTGAGAAAAATGAACATAAGCTCACTGACTTTGGCTTTTGTCTGTCAAAATATTACGTAACATCATTTTGATGCTTTGAATGTATGAACTTCTAAAATTGAATTCCAAAAAGAAATCGTCATCTGAATGCTTCCTCACTAGTCACTTTACGCTTTCTATTGACAAAATGAAATATTTTTTATTCGACAAGTCCGTTCTAAAGCGTTCATTCAAACAAATAAAACTGAGTTTTAGTGAAACGTAATGACTAGTGGAGTTTAGTTATGTCAAGTGTGATTCAGTCAATCATAAAGTATAATGGAAGATGGTTATGGGATATTGAAAGTTGATTAAAGTTAAGTATACAAATCATCGGCTCGCACCTTGCTGGTCTAAGTGCTAAGCGTTTGCGTGTAAAACCAAAGGTCTTGGATCTGTTTCTATGTGGTTGCGTCATACTGTTTAAGAGTCTCATGCTAAAATAAATCAGATGTTTGCTGTCTCACAGTTACTATTGTCTGTCGAACACAAATCTATGCTTGATGTAAATTATGAAATAATATTGACTTTACCATAGATTACTAACATTTCTGAAAGATAAACTGTATTATTAGCTATTTGGTTTTTATTTAATAGCTTACTACAATATCATTTCTGATAAAGAAATATCACATATTTAATAACGTTAAGTGGTGTCACACAAAATTCATAGACATACCCAAGTATCACTAAACTTCTACTACATATCTATATATACTACTTGTCTACAAAGAAATGATTTTACATAGACTTGGTTGAGTAAAAGTGTATTTTATCATTTTATTAATTTATATACATATTATCGATTGATAGGTGTGGTTGTTCTACTCCAAGCTAATCCATGGTTAACAGTTATCCCTGGTTTATTCGATGGATTTATAGGAGGTGGTTTGTTATCGATTCAAGCACAAGTTTCAGCATCATTAACGGATTTAGTGTGTAAAGAATCAATAGATAATAATGATGTAACAAATAGTCAATTAACTAATCAAAATAATTTATGGACTTTATTCACTTGGTTCGATGGACTTGCTTTAATAAGTTTATCACTTTCAAATCCTATAGGAGGTGAGCAAATCAGTTGTATTCACAAATTTGGTATAGGAAATATAATAATAATAAAATTTTAGAAACTATTTGGTTATACAATTTTTTTACGAGTGTTATACAAAATCATACTCACATGAACTGAAAATGTCTTTTTGATATTCTTTGTAATTTCAAATACATTTTAAGATTATATGATGATAGTGTAATGAACAAGAGAACAATTAGGGACAATCAATGTATTCGAACACAAAATTACAGAATCTTTTATTAAAATCTGAGAACGATATAGTAAATACTTTATTTGCGAAATGTCAATCAATCGTCTCAGACTTGACTGATTCTTCTGTTCCACATCAATCACTTTCTGTTCTCGTTCCCTTTTCTCCGATCTTCTTAAGCTTCTGCCTCGAGATATTTCACTTTTGATTGATAATACATATTAATTATATCTATCGACATCAATAGCACACACCACGGTAGTATGACGATATCCAATAATTAATTTGTTTGATTTATCTATGTATTTTTAAGACGGTTAGTAAAATAATCATTAATGAGTTAATGTGAACGGTAAAATACATACTCTGATCACGAGTGTAGTGATATATTACTCACTGTAGATGTATTCTATTTTAATCTGCTCCAAATGGAAATGAAATATTGTATCTCTCCAAGAACAATATCTTGAGATCTTTTTGTTTGCTTGATCAGCTTGAATATAATATACTTTGACTAAAAGTATATATTAGGGTGAAACAAATACCAAAGTATGCTTAAGACTGGACTCAACTATAGTTTTCGTCTTGATACTCAGCTTATTAATTATACATTGCTCAGTTATTTGAATATATAAAGACTTAGTTATTCTTCAAACGTAAGTGTGGATTTGAAAAAAATGTAAACAAAATTAACAGTATATTGTTACTGATCCAGTATTTTTTTCCCAAACATCTTAAAAAAATAAAACATTTCAAATCGAATCAACAATACAATATTTAATTCTTTTAGGTACCCTTCTTTATCGAGGCGGTTTTCAACTACCAGTTATCATCTGTAACATTTTGGTTGGGATTAGTTTATTGATAATATTTTTTCTACCTGAATCGAACATAGTATTTCGTCCTAAATGTTTAAATATAGACACTTTAAATAATGATCAAGATTGTAAAAACGAGAGTAGTAATATAGAGATTGTTTTTGTACGTAGCAGAAATTTATCATTTTGGGAAGTGAATTGTCAAAATATTCAAAACAGTTTCAAGGTAGGTAAATAAATATTGTCATAAATAACTTAATGATCATTTATTTTACTCGTTTTAAACTTTTGCAATTTAGAAGATAATATATTACTTGATTAACTAGTGAGTTATTGTGTTTAAGGAAATCAGAACAATATTAAAATTATAGCGTTTGTGAAAAATGGAATGATAGATTGATTACTAACCTAATTACTTACTTACGGCTGTTACACCTCGTGCAGGAACATAGGCAATTCACCAGCATTCTCCATTCAGCTCTGTCCCAAGCAATCCTTTCCAGTTTCTTCAGTTGCTATTTCATCATTTTCTTATCTGATTCCAATTCAGAGCTCAATGTGTTCTTTGATCTTCCCCTTTTTCGTTTCTCTTCACGATTACAAATCAGAGCTCGCTTCGTTATGCAGTTTGATGATTTCCTCAATACGTGTCATATCCACTTTCATCGACTTTTCCTGGAATCTGGTTTGTTCTCTCGCACAGCAGACTGTTGCTAATGGTATCTGGCCAACGGACATTAAGTATATTGAGTAGACAGCTGTTTATAAATACTTGTACCTTTTTGATGATGGTTGTGATAATTCTCGGGGTTCTTATTGAAGATCCGAACTTTGATACTGGTTGACATACAATTGTTTTGGGTTCCATATGCTCTTCAGCTGTGGGAACGCGGTCCTGGCTTTGTCAATCCTTGCCTGTACGTGTCTGTAGGTCTTCTAGAGTTACTGCCGGTCCCAAGATCGGGTTGAAGTGGAGGTTTGAGCACGGAGTCAGCAACTCCATTCTGTAGAAAACAACTTTGTTGGGAAACGCTAGTCGGAATACAATGGTTACATTGCACAAATATATATTTGAAGCTTTACGGATTTTTTTGATCTCGTTATATTTTTGGTAACTCCGCCTGGAGTCCCTCTGTGAGCTACTGCCCGTCCCAAGCCCGGATAAAGGAGGAGGGTTGGGCATGGGGTTAGCGTCCCCATCCCGTAGAAAACTAACTCGCTAAAAAAACGCTAACCAGAAAAAGTTATTCAGACCTTTTAAACTCTGCCCTGGGAGTCAGAAGGTCTTCATTTAGAAGAATTATGACACCTCATGATGAAAGCCGAATTCCTTCGGAAGTTACGAGGCCGATGCCCTTTCTGACAACCAGAGCGACCATTTATTTAGGTACATGGAATGTTCGTACAATGTGGGACACCGGGAGAGCCTTCCAAATTGCTGCAGAAATGAGAAGATACAACCTAGAGGTACTTGGGATCAGTGAAACACATTGGACACAAGTTGGACAACAACGACTAACTACAGGAGAGCTCCTGTTATACTCCGACCATGAAGAAGAAAATGCACCACATACACAAGAAGTTGCATTGATGCTGTCCAAACAAGCGCAAAATGCGATTATAGGATGAGAATCTCATGGACCAAGCATCATCAAAGCCTCGTTCAAAACAAAGAAAGAGGGGATTTCAATGAACATCATCCAATGCTATGCGCCTACCAACGACTACAATGAAGACGCTAAAGTTCAATTCTACAATAGGCTGCAGTCAATCATCGAGAAGTGCCCAACAAACGACCTAACCATTCTGATGGGAGATTTCAACGCCAAGGTTGGAACGGACAACACTGGATATGAAGACATCATGGGATGACACGGACTGGGAGAAAGAAACGAAAACGGTGAGAGATTTGTAAATCTATGTGCCTTCAATAAGCTGGTCATAGGCGGCACCATATTCCCACATAAACGCATACACAAAACCACATGGACTTCACCGGATCACTCTACACAAAACTAAATCGACCATATTTGCATCAACAAAACGTTCAGGAGGACTATAGAGGACGTGAGAACCAAGAGAGGAGCTGATATAGCATCAGATCATCACTTGCTGGTCGCCAAGATGAAATTGAAACTCAAGAAGCACTGCACAACGGGGCGGACAATATCACAAAAGTTCAATACGACCTGCGTAGTCAACCAACTTCGTGACCAACAGGCAGGATTCCGTAAGGATAGATCGTGTACAGACCAAATCGCAACTCTACGGATCATTGTGGAACAATCAATTGAATGGAATTCATCACTCTACGTCAACTTCATTGACTACGAAAAGGCATTTGATAGCGTGGACAGAACAACACTATGGAAACTTCTTCGACATTACGGCGTGCCTCAGGAGATAGTCAATATCATACAGAACTCACATGATGGATTACACTGCAAAATTGTGCATGGAGGACAGTTGACAAAGTCGTTCGAAGTGAAGACCGGTGTTAAGCAAGGTTGCCTACTCTCACCCTTTCTCTTTCTCCTGGTGATCGACTGGATCATGAAGACGTCAATGTCTGAAGGGAAGCGCGGGATACAATGGACATCTAAGATGCAGTTGGATGATCTAGACTTCGCAGATGATCTGGCCCTTCTATCGCACACGCAACAACAAATGCAGGAGAAGACGAACAGTGTGGCAGCAGTCTCAGCAGCAGTAGGTCTCCACATACACAAAGAGAAAAACAAGATTCTCCGATACAACACAGAATGCACCAATCCAATCACAATTGACGGAGCAGGTTTGGAAGATGTAAAAGCCTTTACATATTTGGGCAGCATCATTGATGAACACGGTGGATCTGATGCAGATGTGAAGGCGCGGATCGGCAAAGCAAGAGCAGCATATTTACAACTGAGGAACATCTGGGACTCAAAACAACTGTCAACCAACACCAAGGTCAGGATTTTCAGTACAAATGTCAAGACAGTTCTACTGTATGGGGCGGAAACCTGGAGAACTACGAAAGCCATCATCCAGAAAATACAGGTGTTTATTAACAATTGTCTACGCAAAATACTTCGGATCTGTTGGCCGGACACTATTAGCAACAACCAACTGTGGGAAAGAACAAACCAGATCCCAGCGGAGGAAGAAATTAGGAAGAAGCGCTGGAAGTGAATAGGACGCACATTGAGGAAAGCCCCTGACTTTGTCACAGGACAAGCCCTCACATGGAATCCTGAAGGCCGAAGGAAAAGAGGAAGACCAAAGAACACATTACGCCGAGAAATGGAGATAGACATGAGAAAAATGAACAAGAATTGGATGGAACTAGAAAAGAAGGCTCAGGACAGGGTGGGTTGGAGAATGCTGGTCAGCGGCCTATGCTCCATTGGGAGTAACAGGCGTAAGTAAGTAAGTAATATTTTTGGTGATTTGTTGCTCACGTAAACAGACTACTGTCACCACATAAAATACTATTATGGTTGTTGAAATTTGCATCTATTTCTTATATATTACACTTTGTATGCATCACTTTCCGAATGATCTATTCGTCTTTGTTCCAAACAGCTCCTGTTAGGAAGATTGACCATGTGTGTCAACAAAGGATGTGGCATAGTTTTCCGCCATTACATCTAACATACGATCTGTAGGTTGATTGTATAATATCCATAGTTGACTGATGTAAATAGAAAAATCACTAGATTCTAACTCGTAAGCCTACAACTACCGCGCTCACTCTGAAATTCTGAGGCCTTAATTTTATCATTGTAAACGGGAATCACTTAGCAGTCCTGATGAAGACTATAAAAGCTCTTTAGTGCTCTATGATGTTTATTATTTTTCCAGACTATGTCAATCTATGGTCCGTAATGGTATATAAGAGAATTTCAAACAATTACTATTACTGAAATATAATTCCCACTTAAACATTAAGAACATAAAGTTCAGAGAAGGGATCTCTTTTCAACGAATTTTAATAAATTCGTACAATTGTATAAATATGAAATTATTTTGTCAAAGTACTAGTTCCGTGAGGAAATGTGAACACGAATAGCCAGGATGACGTAATAAGAAGATTATAAGACTAGCTTACGTAATACGAATAACAACAATAGACCTCATAACTTAGTATCGAATTATAACATTTTAATTATCTTAATACATTCACGTTATAATTCGTTACTAACTTATTACGTCTATTGTTATTATTTGTTTTGCGTAATCTAGTAGTATAATCTTGCTATTGCGTCATCTTGGTTATTCGTGTTACCATTTCCTCACGGAACTAGTACTTTAACATATATATATATATATATATATTAATTTCGACGATAAATCCACTACTTAAGTTATAAACTATCGCAAATAAAAGTCGGACAATTCTTGTTAATGTGCTTTTAACCGGCTGTATAAACTTCTGTTAGAGTTGATGTTAATAAACTGATTACCTGACAAAATTCTTTTGAACTTGTCTATTTATCATTTCTTAATAATATTACATTAAGATCTTATAAATATAAAGGTAAATTTGGCTAACTGTGAAAAACATTCCTATTTATCAGAGAATGGTCAATAATATACCATCTAGTTTATATCTATAATATTTTGAAAATACACTTGATATTGTTTACTTGAACCTCCCCATTGATGTTTAGAACTACAGTTGATCAATCTCTTATTGGTATATGTGTATACTGTGTGTATTACCTCGATATTGCCTTAACTCACAAGCATTCTAAAGAAAGATGGATAGTAGCTAGCAGTGCAATTCAGGATGCACATTTCATCCTACTTAAGACTCTTCAGCTGGATATAACTGCATCATAGAGTTGATATTCACTCTGGGACTCGAACCCAGTACTGTTCGCTTCAAACGCCACTGTGTTATCCACTTATATCCAAGCAAACAACACCAAGTGAATTTAAACTTCACCCCATTGCACAAGCAAGTAGCTATCAAGACTCATTAGCTAAGTGGATAACGTGAGGGCGTTTCAAGTGAAAGGTACTGGGTTGTAATCACGGAGTGAGCACCAATTCTGAAACGCAGGTACATCCAGCTGACGAGTCTCACATAGGAAGAAATGCGCATCCTCTATTCCACTGCTATTCACTATCCATACTTGCTTATTTTTTAAAATACAGTTTTCATTAAGTCATTATACAACTTGAAATATTTAATACTTAGAAGAATAATTACATTACACTATCTTCGAAATCCGGATACGAAACCTATTTAACCTCTCTATCTATCAATGTATATTTAAATTATTTATCTTAACGAAGATAAATTACGACAAATTTTTGATCGAATTTGACATAAATGAAATATTTTTGTACATTACAAGCCTAGGCTTATTTGCATTTATTGATTGCTAAATGCATAACATTATCATTTTTTTATGTAATTACAGAGAACTTATAAAAGCACAAATATATAATACACTCTAATATTTACAACTATATTGTCATGGAAATAAAATAACTTTTAACTCGAACATACTATTTTGTCATGCTTAATCTATTCTCAGTGCAGAAGGATGACCGTCAATCGATATGCTTTATTAGCGAAACTGTAATTGGTAGACGAACCAATCACGTATAAGATAACAGGTCTCGAATTTTGGCGTGAAATTCATTCATCCATTTGGTTAAAGGGAGTTTCGGCATTATAGCTGATGTCAATTTGTGATGAAAACCCTAAATCTAATTTCTAACCTTAATCATCAACTGTAAATCATAATTCTAATTCCCCACACAGGTGTATAACCCTCATTTGGTCTTAGTTATTTGGTGGATACTCTCAAGGTCAATCTAGAGTCGCTGAAAGGTCGTTCATAAATTATAGTTTCACCGTTTTTCTTCTCAACTCCTCAGAATAAAGAAATGATCAGCGTGGATAAATAATTGATTCAATACGGGATCCAACAGGTGCACTTGCCTGATGATACTCTTTTATGTTTTCTATCGTTTTGTTTTTAACTAAATAAAACTATTTATGATAAGCCTTAATTTATTTTAGATTGTGATTAGTCAAGCTAACTTAATCCATAGTGTTTTGTCTATAAAAATGATAATCTGAAAACAGTTTAGATTTTATTAGGATAAAGTCTGTTAGAAGAATTCAGGATTCTATATAATGATTGTTTATGACAAACTTCATTAGAATATTGTATTATGACATATCATATACAGTAAAAAGGTTTTTTATTTTCTATTTGTTATTTCATATTCAATAATAAACACTTTAGATCCTAAGTGGAAAATATAAACAACACATGCTAACTGGATTTATTGTATTTTTGTTATCTACTGTTACATCAACGGATTTGTATATTATATACATATATCTAATGGGATATCCATTTTTATGGAATTCACAGGATGTTGGAATTTATTCGTAAGTTTACGTTTGAAGTTGTTGTTTTTTTAGTGAAATGAACGAATAATTAGATACAGTATCATGGAAATTTTATGACAAAAAATTTGAGGTTACGTTTTAAGTAGAAGGGTTTTCATTATGTCTAAATAGTTAGTACTACAAAACTTTAATCAGAATAACACTTCAATGGTTTATAACATATAGACATTTGACCATGAAATTTGTATTATATTTTTTATATTAATTTTTGAGGATGTTAGATCCCCAGAAATCACTTGGTAAATACCTTATTTTTGTAATTTGATTTTTTATAAATTGAGTTTTTTGTTTTCGCGCCAAAAGCACTTATCTTCACTTTCATGTCGTATTTCCCACTTAGAAGGATCTTCAATGCTATTGCTTCGTTGTATCTTTTAGTATGCTATTTTGTAACGCATCCTAAGGACAATTTTATGCTGTATATAAACGTTTGATTTGTGCCTGTTGTGATTGTTCCTGTTTCTGGCGGCTTGCGGAATATATTTCCACATTTTGAACTTGAACTTCTCCTTTAGTCAGCGGGGCCGAGACTAGTTTATTGGTCTTTGATCACAAAATCTTTGTTCCGTTTCCAGACTAGGTGAACTCGTAATCGCTTCAACCATAGCATTAATTGACTGATATCCAAAGAATACTTGATGATTATATACATAAATTACCATAAATAAATTTAACATAAAAGTTATCTTATCACTTAAATTATAAAGTAAATTAACCTAAGTTTGAGATTTTATTTTGTTACAAAATTCTGTTCACTGTATACATTTGTACGTAAAGATAGTCCATTTTCAATAGTTTGTACCTCATTATTGCTGTCCAAGAAAGAAATTACTATGTATTCAAATTCCAAGAAATATACTTCTGAAAGATTTTGTTATTTATAGATAAGAATCAATTGATAGTATATGCCCGAAGATAATACTTTTGTTTATAATTACACTGTGGTGAACGAGAACACAAGTGGTGACAATCGAAAGTTTATGAATGCAAAATTATAGAGCGTCTTAGTAAAATCTGAGAACCATACAGTAAATTCTTCATTTGCAAAATATTAGTCATTTATCTCAAACTTGACTGTTCCTTCTGCAAATGTGAATCAATCGTATCGAACTTCATTGTTCTTTTGTTTCCAATACCAATCATTCTTTGTTCTCGTTCTCATTTCTTTGATTTTCTTAACCTTCCACCTCCAGGCATTTCACTTTTGATTGATGATATATACTACTTATATCTATTGACATCAGTAGCATACACCACAATATGCTGTTAATTTTATTTTAATACTCCGTAAATATAAGATGATTGTCCATATGATTGGTTGTAGATTTGGATGATTCTTATAGGATTAGACAAAACTCTTCAGGATGTCTGTATATCGTTTTATTAGCAGAGAGCTTAGATGCAGAGGTTCTATGGTTGTTCATTACTAATACATTCGACAGTATGCAAAACGTGCTTGTAGAAATAAACATATCATATGTTTTATTATGAAAAACTTGCTGATGATGCAAAACATGTATAGTAATACTGTTTTTATAATCGAGAAACCACCGTAAGTTATTATATGCAATCAAATTGTGAATTTTGAAAAAAAATAAAACTCAAATTGATTCACTGTTTTCAACGTGCGATTTATAACTATCTCTATTAACCATTGATGAGATGTGTTATGAGCCACAGATTTTTAGGCATTTAAATTTAGGATAGTCAAAACACAATCCATCCAAGGTTGGACTTGATAGTCTCACATAAATTGAGTATTGGGTAGAAAGTTAATAAGAAATATGTATTCTTTTTATATGCCTATGAGTAGGGACAATTATATTTTTCACAGGTTGAAATCATGAGTCAGTTGAAGCTAGACCACCATTGAAAACCTGGAAGCACTGGACGGCCGTTTCGTCCTAGTATGGGACTCCTCAGCAGTGCGCATCCACGAACCCGCCCCCTGCGGGATTCGAACCCAGGACCTACTGGCTTCGCGCGTGAGCACTTAACCATTAGACCACTGAGCCGTCATCCAACGGTGTTAATGTCTAACTTCAACCAATCCACGAAGTTGCGCCATCGAACACCAATGTGGATGCGCACTGCTGAGGAGTCCCATACTAGAACGAAACGGCCGTCCAGTGCTTCCAGGTTTTCAATGGTGGTCTAGCTTCAACTGACTCATGATTTCAACCTGTGAAATTTACTAAGATCTCCACAAAACTCATTCTGATAATTATATTTTTGACGTTTCATAACTTAATATAAGCCACTTCTTTACTCTGAAGTGACTTACATTATGTGTATAATATAAACAATCCATCCAGTTTGTTCTGCTCATTGTGCGTGGATTAAGCAAGTGTTCCTAAGCTTATGAGGTTCTGTATGCAATGATAGCTCAACAATGTACACATATATATTTATTATCATCCCATACTACATGGTTTGAACTTCTTCATTGTTTCTAGAACATGGAACTTTAACTACTGTCTCTGCATAATATGTATTTTACTCATAATACCATTGAATACACTAGGAAGTTAAGTAGATGGATAACATTATAGTGACTAATGATTACAGGATAGTTGTTAAAATATTTATTTCAGTTTTCAACAATTACTCAATCAGTACAGTGTTCTATTTCATTGTCAAATCATATAAAAGTTAATTTATCAGGTGAAATAAATTCATTACAAAAATACTTTACTAAATATCAATGTGAAAATGCAATTCAACTTATTACAGAGCATACAATATAGTTATATGAATTTTCTTAATTATGTTAGTAAATCATAATCCCATTATTTTGTATCATACTACTTAATTATACTTAATTGTTTAACAAGTATATTTTCATTCAAATGTATTACTATTATTTTCAGTGGTGTAACTGATATAGTTTCTGCAATCATCGCACTTATTTTCACACTTTTAATGGCTCGAATCATACATAGACCAATATCAAAATCAAGTCATTCAATCTCTCAGAATATATCTGATACGAATGATAATTATAAACAATTTCATAAAGTTAAATGTCAGTCTGTCAAATTCCTTTTAAAAATACTAATTTTCAGTATTTTTATGATGTTCATGAACCGAACTATACTTGGTATATCATATCTGTTTAATACATTTACAGCTAATACTTTAGTTTATATCGGTAATTATTTCTTATTTATTAAATTGAAGTTGTATAGTTTATATAATTAATTTTTATTTTGCTTAATTCAATTTATTATTTGTATTTTGATGTGACACTAGAGGTGTATATGTCTGAAATACAAGTAAATATTGTCTACCATTGGAAATTGTAAGATCAGTGTATATGTGTAGTGTCTATGATTCATAAAATTTCATTTTGTCTTCACTGGTATAATCTCCTGACTTCGTGATAAATTCCATTCATTATATTCATTGTAAATAACTCCCTATTAAACTGTTGGTAACAAAATATTTTTTTTAAAAACTTGAATCCGTTTAACAATGTGTGACATTATTAACTTCCATCTAAAATAGCTATTATTAATTAAAATGAAAATATTTTCCCTAACACAAATCCTGCTATCATTTCAAATAAACTAAAAAGAAAGTTGAATTCATGAGTCGATCTAAGATAGACTACCATTGAAAACCTGGAAACACTGGATGGCCGTTTCGTCCTTATATAAGACTCTTTACCAATACACATATACGATCCTGCACCCTAACTTCGAACTCAAGACCTTCATTCTCACATATGAACGCTTAACCTCTAGACAACCTGCACAAAACCCAATCCTGGCAAAAATTAAGTATTCAAGAAAAGTAACATAACCGTGGATTTGATATCGGATGACAGTTGATTAGTTACAGATAAAACTTAAAGTTAAGGAATCGTCAATGGACCATCACTCACTTCTATATTAATAAAAACGTAAGCCATTAAATAATCGGAACATTCTTGGATGTCATCCACGAAATTATTTCGGGATTTATAATCCAGATGAACAATATTCAATAAAAGTAGGATACACTGGCAGCCTTAAACGACTTACTAACTAATCAGTAAAAGTTTACTAGCAATGAAATAATTAACAATTAAAAGGAAACAAATAATAGCGAGATAATAGCTTTGATAGGAATAATCTTGAATTATTTATTGCAGTAAAAGCGAAAAGTTAAGTCCATATATAAGGAGTCGAGGGAGGGCTGTGAGTTAGTGCTCTAAACGGTTATACCCACATATATTTTTCACCATCAACTGACAACAGCTATCATGCTAAAAGTTAAGGATAAGAAGTGAGATTCAATCTGTAGTTTTGAATTACGTTTACAAATTAGGGTTATGGTTTTCATTATCAAATGACATCAGCTATAGTCAACTGATTAGAAACCCTCCTATTTACAAACGAAAGAAAATTAAGGTTGATATCTAGAAGAAAAGTTAGGGTGAATACTTAAAGGCTCCATTAAACACTAGATAACGCATTGCGTATCATCAAGCTTTTTAATACACAATCTGACTTCCGAGCATGTATTTTTTGTAATTTAACTTAAGTACCACCTTGAATTCACTTCTAGCTGGATAATAGGCATTTTTATTAATTCCAAGCATTTTGTAAATAAATTATTGCATATTTTCATTTTGTCAGTAATAATATACAAGTTATCGCTTACTATACTTCAAATTTCACATAAAATATCTGGGATGTTTTTCCTAATACTGATTACGCAACTCAAGGCTGTCAGTATATTATACTTATACCCAATATTCTTATGTTTTCTAATACAAGGTGAAATGTAAAAGACGAAGCTAAATAGTGTTTCTAATATTTCTGTCTCTACACAAAAATTCCTTACATCCACTTTAATTCTTTTTTACTTTGTTTTATTCAGCTACCATACCAAGATTTGCTAAAGGGTTGAATAATCCAATACTAAGAACCCTTATATCCATGTGGACTGACCAGTCAAAGCAGGGTAAGTGATTGATGATACAAATATTCTAACATTATTTTAATGTAACTGATTTACAGTTATTGCCTTAAATGAAGTTTATTATACTGAATAGCACTGATTCAAGAATACTGTTAACATTTAGTTTTTTAGGAAAAAAGAATTCACTAATACTAATATATATATAGTATGAGTTAGTCAGTTTTAAGGATGTATTTCATTAGCTATAATCATAAGATATTTACAAATACCACTTATCAGTAAAGGATTGAGGAGATTGTTGGGTTTAATTGATATCATTAATGGACGCTTTAGTGAAGGCATGCCATAAAAGCCATAAGTTATTTTATTTTTTGAGATGGCATTTATTTAATTATATATTAAGGAAATTATGAAGTTTGCAAACACCAGACATAGTGTAGTGAAGGAGAACATAGGTGAGGACAGCCGATTATATTTAGCACAAAATTACAGGGTTACTTGGTAAAATAGAAAAACCATACCTCCAATACTTCAATTCCAAAATGTTCGATAATTGTCTCAGACTTCATTGTTCCTCCATTTTCATACCAAATGCTTTTTAATTCCTTTTCTCTCCTTCTTGATCTTCTCAACCAATAGTTGCCAGACATTTTATTCCTGAATATATATATATATATATATATATATATATATATATATATATATATATATATATATATACTTTATTCTAGTTTATACAAGATTCTGAGGCTTCGGTACTTTGTTGAAAACTCTGAATTAGTAAAAGTTAGTTGATTAAAAAAGGTTACTTCTTTGTAGTCTGTATAGTGTAAAGTTTACCAAGTGAAGACTATTAAAAAAATGATCAATTCAGTTTTTTCTGTATGATGAGAGGAGTCATTAAAGAAAAAGAAATATATAGTAATAGCACTAAAAGAAACCTACAGGGTTTGGACAGTTTTAGGGATTTTAGCTACAGTTTCTATTAAACCTAATGTAAACCATCTAATTGAATTGAATCAATTTTTATATAAGAATATATTTTATACAATCAGTTTAGATTCTGACTATAGATTTACGATTTCCACTTGAATTATTCATAATGTATTCAGTTTTTATACGCCATTGTTCATACTACAATAAATCATTAATATTAATATTAATGTCTCGGACTAAGATTACTATATATATTTCTCCCATTTAATATGAACCTCTTTCCCTAATTTTAACATTTATGAACCTCATTAAGAAGAGCATTCATACTTGCTGGATTACTGTTCAAAATCTTTATTGTTGGTTTATAAACATCAGTTATATTCCTAAAGTGAATACATTCTTTGTAGTATAATTTTAGTGCATATATGAAAGGTAAAATATTTCTAATATACAAATGATAAATTGATTATACAGATAGTCAGATGCATTTGTTATCGTTTACTTTTTAAAAAAATGCACAAAACCATAGTCAGTTTAGTGCCTAGCATTATGTCTCATGTAATACAAACGTAAAATAAACTTTATAACATTGTGGTATTTTAGTTTTTACAGTTTTGTCATTCTTGTCTAGTATTATAGGATATTAAAATACTTTATATAGAGAGACAGAAATACGAATAATCTAAATAAGTTCCATGAAATGTACCGAATTCATTTTAAATAGATCCAATTTATTTAACTGTAATTATGACAAAGTATAGGAAAGTCAGATATCTAATGTAGGAAAGTTTATATGGTTTGTATATTTTTTTATAGTTCCCAATGTGTTTTTTTCATTTGGAAAGCGTATATTTCATCAATTTCTCATAATAACTTTACGTAACTCAAATAATTATGATGTTCCTTTGTTCAGTTACCTCCGTGTTTTTCTTTTCATTTTAACAGGTATGATACATTCATTTGTGGCGTTTGTATCACGATTGGGCGTACTTACTTGTTTTTCTGTATTAATTTCAATCTATTCTTCAACAACTGATCTATTCCCTGGTGCTGTATTCTTGGTCTGTTCCAGTTTGATAATTATTGCACTGATAACAACTGGGTATGTTATTTATGTAGATTTAATTCAATGAAAACCAAATACTGATTTATTTTTAAAATCTTTCTTCTTCAGCATTTCTAATACATAAAAGAATCTCAGAGAAAATGCTTCACAAAAGTAAAGGTTCTCAGGGAAAACTTTAAATGTAATAAAATTATCTAAGAATTATGGGTTCAATCTGCTTAATATTGAAGATAACACAAAACAAACTTAACAAATTGAACATAACTACTTACTAATTGTTGTTAGTAATTATTCACCTTATCGAGATAAAAAGAACATTTACAACTTATTTCTAATATTTATTTGATAGTTGAAACCGTTGTACAAACTATGAAAGTGTCGATTAAGTCAAATCAACCTTATTACTTTCAGAATGTTTGGTCCATCTGGATGAAATTTGTTTTGGGAATTAAACCAATGATCATATCATTGCATCACACCAACTGATACACAAAAAGGGCTGATAAAATCATAAACAGGATTAAAGTTTGAGGTTTTACAAAATATAGTAAATTACCATGTTCATTATTGTAAACAAGAGAGACTATAAATAAGATTAACGATTTACTTAGTGATTAAACAGGATTTCAGATTTCGTTATCTTTTGAATTAATAATAATAAACTGAAAATAATTTCTATATTTAAAGGATCAATACCATGCTGAGCGCTTGATTCTCATCGGCAGTCAACGACTTGATATACAAAAATCTCTCTAAATGCAATATTTGTGAAGCTTATCTATTCATAGTATCCAACAGTAAAATTACTGAAATAAATACTAAAAGAATTACATAGCAGCGTAGTAGAATATAAAGTAATCCTTATTAATATGGATACTAAAAATGAAACTATTAGATTACTACAGATAAGCTTCTCGTTCAACACATTGTTCAACGTGCAAATTTTAAAAAAAACAGTCCATTCAAGTTAAATGTGAAATAAACAATAACCATGCAAGTACTTTACCGAAAAATATAACAAGCATTAGATACATGTCATATGACACTTTTTTTTAAAAAGTACGGTAAATTATATTGGCTGTTATTTATCTATCCAAATGGGCATCTAATTTACCGAAGCCAATGTTTTGAGTTCAACCCATTCATTTCGAAAACGACTCTGTTAATCAATCCCTATCACGTGTACTTTGTTGATCAAAGCCGGATGCATAGATGTATACTTGATAAATAAGTTATTTCGTAAATCATTTTAATTATATGAACTTAGATGTAATGAGACTGAATTCTGATTGATGTTTAACAAAGTAAGTTTATAATATCAGCATTGTAACCATTATTATTTTCAATTTTTCTATATACAAAATAACTTCCACAAGTTTACAATTTGTAATCCTAAGAAGAAATCAAGTAGAAAATTGTGTACTGTCCAATAAGATCTATCTGATGTATTTCAAAGTACACTAATATGCAAACAGATACGTATAGAGTTAATGCAATTTAAATACATATTTTCACATAGTTTGTGAACATTGATTGTACTGTCCATAAACTAACTAAAGGTAACCGTTTACAAATTCTTATCTTCTTGTCAAAGAATCAATACATAAATGTAACAAAAGCATATTATTTTTCTCAAAAGACAATAGATGTCAACACTGAAGTTTCACATCACAATCTACTTCTTTTTTAAATAACGAATTGATGTTTCCACTTTGAGATACCTCACAATCGTTCGATTTTCATTAACAGAAGAGAAAAAACAAAGTAATTTCAAACAAAATAAGGTTTCTACTTTTTTCAGACAACAAAAAGAACATTGAAAAATATCTCATTAAGATTTGTCAAAAATATAGAGCTGATTGTCTGACATTAAATAACTTCACTAACAAGCCGAGTGTAAAACCAGTAAGCTAATGATTTAGAGAATAGAAGCATAGATTAATGTAAACTTCGGTAAATGTAAGTTGCCACTTTACACCCAAACAATATGAAGAGAACTAATATAAGTTTAATTTGATCCCTTAGTTAATAAATTAATTAGTAATGAAACAAGTTAAACCAGTAATTTCCCTTGTTAGAGTTCTTATTGTTGTGAATACTAAACATGTTTTTGTTTACAAATGAAAGATTTCGAATTAGGTCCATCCTAGAAATCTTAATTTAGTTAGCTTCAACCATTTAGACAATGATCCTTATTTCATTTCTTATATTTACCCTAATATCCCGTTAAACTCTTGAAAACGGCATGACTAATAAAGGAATACATAATAAGTTTACTTAGATGGTGAATGGTACTGCTTTAAGGCTGATGATATAATGTTAACGGCTGAGTTACAGAATATTTTAATAGCTTTACGAAAAAACAGTATGCTATAAACAATAAAATTATTTAAATTATGATCATTTAATTGATTTTTATTAATTGATTAATCTTCCCTCTTTGTTGTTCACTTTGATGCTAACAGAACAGTCAACATTGATTATTTTCAAAGTTAAAGTAAACATTACACTCAAAGTTCATTATCTTATATCGACTATAAGATTCATTAAATGATTCCGTAAGCTTTTTTTCTTAATCTGGATTCCATTACTAGCCACCATCCATCCCTGATTATAATGTATTAAGGTTTAGTGTATTATTATTGTGATCACAAATTGAACAAGTTATCTTTATGTTTTACTATAAAAATTGTTTTCCAAAATGTTTTATGATCAAGTAAGCAATCAGTCTTATGATCTTTTTGATTGAGATCATGAACCGACTGATGTTAGACCATCATTCAAAACCTGGAAGCACTGGACTGCCGTTTCATCCTATTGTGGAACTCCTCAGCGGTGCGCATCCACGAACCCAGGGCCTTCAGTCTCGCGCGCGAACGCTTAATGGTGGTCTAACGTTAATCGGTTCATGATCTCAATCAAAAACTTAACAATCTCCCCAACCTCTATGCTGATAATCTTATAAGCATTGTAATTTCACATAAATATCTTGTGAAATATCGTTTTAACACCTGGGTGTACGATTATTAACTGGACATAATGATTATTTTTTTCTAAATAAAGGGTTTACAATGACCGTGGATCAATGTCATATTGTAACCTTAGCAACGTCGATATAAATTTTACATCATATTTTTGAATTTATAGGTAACTGATTTAAACCAAAACTGATTTACTTTAATGTTCAATGAATTGGTAAATTAAGGGAACTTATTGTTCTGTTAAAAATTGTTAAATTTAAGTTTTCTAATTCATGATACTTATATACAAAGTAAAATACTAACGCAGGTATTTAGTTTCTTTATTCCGGACTATTTCTTATACTTCTGAAAAAATTAAACTAAAAATATGTTTTCATCAAAAGTTTTTTGAATTATTCATCCAGAATTTCAATGAAGTCTTCATGATTTTCGATGAATATTTTGAGGAAAAATGTGTTTTATTTTTCTGTGAACATTTTGATAGATTTTTATATGGATTAACCAATAAAAATATGAATATCAGTCAGATGGAAAACACTTCAGAGAATATATATGATGAACAAACCGAAATTTCGAAATAGTGTATTAAAGTTATATTTTTTTACATTTCAATAAACTCTACCTGTTATATCCGAGCGAAGATTAAATCACGAGTAATTTCTGAGACATGTTAATTGACTAATATGATCTATACATTTTTATGGTATAACTATTCAATAACTCGATTATGTATATTTATATTCCTCTTATTATAAGCTTTATTTTGACCTATAATTTATTATTGTAAGATTTACTGTTCTTAAGCTATGTTCAGTTTATTGACTACCACCTCCCATGTTCACAGCCACTTTTTTGGCTTTATTGGGTACAAATGTTATTTCCTATTTTATAGTGCGTTGCGGTCTGTTTGATTGATATATAAACTCAGTATGTCTGAAATAAAAGATTTGATTCGCATATTGGAAGCTGGTATTGGTGTTCTGGACTCAAGTGGACGGGCTAAGCGGACATAGGACCAATAAGGACGCTAGGCTGCTTATACCGGTCGAATGTCATTGGTTTGGCACAGTATTAAGATTGTATCAGTCGTATTTTGATTGTTGGATAAATCACTTGGTAAAAAGCCGGACATAAACTCACAACACTACCTCCAAAAAACAAAATTTTACCAACAAAATGATTTTGTATAAATGCAATTGGGAAGAATTTATTTGATGTTACCTATTTGTATAGTGATTAATTGTTTCTGATAAGAAATGTATGTATGCTTTCTTAAAATAAATGTTCAAACTAAACTAATCACGCTTCATTATCAAATAAAAAGAAACTATAAACTGTAAGTTGAACCATACAGTCTACATCTAAAAAAAACGATTAAAACAGTGTTGAGTGAAAGTGCTCTACTTCTGTTTAATAAATTTTGACGAGAATACTTATCAATAACTGAGAGAACGAATCGACACATATTGCTTATGAATTGATATTACATTTAATTGATGATTAAACAGACTGATTTCTGATGTTTATATGACATTAAATATCAAGAATTAAAAACCCTGAGGTTGAAATAACAAGTTGACAGGGAACTAATTTTTAATGTTATTAGGTGATCATTTAGTTGAATGAACCGTTTCTGTTACTATTTATTATCTGAAGATGAAAATAACATACTAGAGTAGTAAATTATTCTGTCTAAGGAAAACCACTTTTCTTCTAATGCATCAGTTTATTTCGATAGAACAATGAGAAGACGGAGTTGATCTGAAAAATGTGATGTAATAACGCTATACATTTCGAACAATCTGGTCACACATATACTTGTCAGGGCATTTTTATATGAAAATTAATAAAGGTCAAACAAATAAAAGTACAATTAAAATAACTAAGGGGAGAGAAAGAATAAGAAATTGTCGCGTTATCCTAGGATTACCAAGGTAAATTCAAGGTTACGACAAATTGTTTTTGTACACATAAGGGGGGTTTAAATTTACGAATAGTCAAGGCTTCAATAAACTTAAGAATTCGACCTTGATAATTTCTATACAACATTCTAAATGCTGTATTAATGTTAATTTTGTGCCCCGTCTCAATTATATGTTTCGCTATCGATGAGCTTGGTTTACTACCTCCTAGGCACATGTTCATTGACCCTTGATTGTATTGTTCGATTACTCCTCCCTATGTATGTGTGTCTACATAAACATGTAAATTGGTAAATACAATGGGATGTGACGTAATCATTAGTGCATTGTTTGGGTCTATTAGGAATCATGACCTTAGACTTTTCAATCACTACCAACTGAGCAGCAAAATACGTATTCTCGATGGCAGCTTTCAATCTCTGCCTTAAGACTATACTGTTAGATTCGCCTCTATATGGTAGATTGATATAAGCCTTTTTCTTTGGCACTGAATAAATTAGAGGTCTTGGCATTAACTGACTTTTGCACCTATTAATAAACTTGAGTGGATAACCATTTGCTATTAATGTGTCAGTCAGTTTATCTTCAGTTTATCTTATAAAAAAGCGAATTTACATCCAGATTCACAACATGCTTCAATCCTAAAAAGTGAATCATCAAAGTTCAACACACAAATACCACAAATGTTTCAGTCTGGTGGGTAAAAGTATGGCATAAACTAAGGTAAACGTTTTATGTATTTGTTTCCACACTGAACTCTTACGTCCTTGATATGTCTATCTGATAATATATAGAAGATAACTTGTATCGATTTAGATTAAGTTCTTGAACGATAGGCTAACGGGTTTAACCTGTGTGGACTCGAAGTGAGACTAACTGCCTTGGGTAGAGAGACGTAAACTCTTCGGTCACCTGATTGGTTGACAAGCTCGAGAGAGAGAGGACGAGTCAACTGGAACACTACTCGATTTGTTCACAATTCGAATTCACACTCCGATCTGGTTCCGATTCAGATTAGTGTAAAAATATAAATGAATAATTAAATGACACGTGACCACAACGCACAAAAAATTAATAAAATCTCGATAATGTAATAAGAAGACGAAGATTATCAGAACTATGTTCTGAAATTTATCAAAGGGACTAATTGCTTTAAATTAAGAAAATACAATTATTTCCAAAACCGGGGATTAGGGTGGAGAAATAGAGTAGCAAAGGTTATGTTTAAATTACAATAACTTTGGAACAAAAAGCGTATGGTATTAAACCATACATCAAACGAAAGTTATGGTTTGAAGAATAAAATAGGAACAAAAATAAATGTTTTACAAGCTTTGAATTATGTGAAATAACATTCCCCAAATTAGTTTCCGTTGTTTGTCATAACTTCTCTGTTTCTCTGTTCACACCAAAAATATCTATTTACTTACGAGAGTTTAAGTGACTCTTCCAACCGTTTTTTTAACAAGCCAAACTCTCAACACAAATATTGTTTTATAATGACTGGAAGCTGTGACTATATAGCGTAATTCATTGTTTAGCATTTTGGAATCTGCAGAGTAATCATCTATATCACTGATATCAATTGGTTAGTCCACTAGAAATTGACTAATTATTATTTACATCAAACAGTCTATTTGAGAACGAACGTTATGAAAGTATATTGGTCAGCCTAAGAAAATATGATTTTTTTAATGAATTTGGTTAGGAACTAGTCCTAATTATACGTCATTACAATTAATAAATTTTCAATTAAAGAAACGAACGATTTCACAAGTATTTTTCCCCTGCTTTTGAAACATTCACAGCATCCACAAAGTAGTAAATGTAATCATGTTTAAAATAAGAGTGAATCACTACCCTTAACTGTAGTTATAAAAGAAAAAAGTGTAATGTCTTCTGATAAACTGAAGCTAAACTGTAGTCATTCTGTACCGTGGGAGATTATAATGATCCTAAACAAACACAATATTTCAAACATGTTTCTAAATCTTCGAAACATATCAAGAAACTAAAGAAAAATTCAGCAATATCACTAATCTAGTTAAAAACAGGACATGAGACTGAATTTAATTTGACCAAATAATTTGAAAATGTTAAGAAAAATTAAAAGTCCAATCCTTATATATGTGGAGGGAATCTAAACAATCTGAAAAGACAATATAAGGTACAGATAGCTACACTATGGTAACTGTTGATTAACAAATCAAATCAGAAGGGGGGTTTTGTGGAGATTTTAGTAGTTTATTACTTGAATTCATGAGTCAATTAAAGGTAGGCCAACATGAAAAAATATAATCCTTTATTTCAATCACCCTGGATATGACTCCAATAGAGAATTATATCGAGTTATATTTTTAAATTATCTCGAATTACGTTCCCTTAATTTCAAGAAAAAAGTATATGACTATTTTTTTTGTCACCAAAAACTTCGATAAGCTTAATATACTTTCTAAATCTTCTGTCTGAACTCTTGAATCAGCTTCCTAAGCTCTTCCAATAACGAAAGGCTAAATCTATACAAGAAATTGAACGGGAGAGAAAATGCGAGAAATTTAGAACACTTTACTCTTAGGTTAGTTTGTGTGCAGAAAATCTGAGTATTTGTAGCATTTTAAACGGCTTTGTGTTTCTTGAGGGTTCTAGAACCATACTAAACATAGTAGCAGGATAGATAACCATCCAATCAGAAATATGACACATGACTCTTTACTTCTCAAATGTTTCTGAGAAACTTCTATTCAACTCTGACTGGACAAAATGTTTTCCAACGTTTTCAGTGCACCTCTGAACGTTTTTCGAAAAATAATCTGGATCTCTCTAACAAGACTCAATTGTACTTTTAGTTCGGCAATCAAAAATACGATAGATGTGTCCAAAATCATCGAGAAAACCCTCATTTATTCATTGAATTTTCGACAATACCACACAAATCTACACATTAAATTTTGAATTCATTTCATACCAGATACACTCAAAAACTCTTTGGGGTAATAAGTGATATTAAATACAAATATTGATAAGCTTAATTTCCCAATTTCTTGTTGCATGGGTGAACACATACCAAAATGGTTGCAGAAACAAATGAATTCCAATGGTCAGACATGATCACACGATAGACAGACATCTTCCTCCATTGCGAAACATTTAATTGAGACTGGTCACAAAGTTGATATCAAGTCAGCATTTGTAATGTTGTTTCATAATCGTTGGATGTGAAAAGACATATACTTTATATAGTGTATTGAACTGTGAACAGAAATAATAACTATCAGTGTACACGTTCAAGTATAATTTTTGAAAAGTTATTTCGTAAAATTGCATTATGTAAGTCGTTTTGATGAGAAAATATTTGACTTCATTATGTATAATTAGCAGAACGTTATTACAATAATTTCGTTGATCTGTTTAGGTCTTTTGAATGAATAACAGACATCATAAGAGTAAAGAATGTAATTAATTTAAAAAAGTGATTTTTTACTTTTCATTGAAATTTTCATCAACTATACAAAACTAATTATCTCACAATGTCTTGTTCCTTACAACTTTAGAATTGGCAGTGTTAAACAGTCTAGACAGTATAAATAATTTAACCAAAGTATGGTTCATGGGATGAACTTTGTATATATTAACAACACTGTATAAACATAAAACTGTTAAAATTAGATTATAGTGTACACCTTAAAGTTGATCTCATTTGTAAGGATATATTGTGCCAACGAAATACTGAATCCTGTTTCTCTTCAGTAAATACTACCGAAATAAGTCACACATCCACGATGTTTCGATTATTCATTTATGAAATGCCTATGTAGTATGTGACATTATACCCTTCAAAGTTCCAAGGTCTTTTTAGTTCTAACAGACCAGTGGATTAAGATAGTTATTTAATTTTGTTCTGTAGAACTCTATAGACATATATAATATTTTCATAAACTGGTAATGTTATTACATACTATGCACAGTGTAGTTAAATCATTTATATTCAACAGTATATTTGTCACTCTTCGAAATAGATTTTTAATGGAATAAACCAAAGGCACACATGATTTCTTTAATATATCAGTCACAGATGACTATTGAAGTTATATTACTTATCATAAGTGAATCATCATTTAGATCTACATTTTTATTTTGGCTACATAAGATATCTATATATTATCAATTAACTATGTATTAAATATGGGTGAAGAAATGAAAACCACTTGTCATCATTCTTATTTAAATCAGCTGACCATTGAAATGACATAATATTGATATGTCGCAATAGATACTACAATCAATTTCGATTTTTGCTTTGTTATTAACTATAAAGATAACTGTTAATCCAGAAGTTTTATGCTTATATAATTCACAATGATCAAAAACATCAATTCAACATTTGGAATTGAAACAATTCAATAGATAATGAGAAGTAATAACTGATAGGAAGTATCATTTCTAATCGTTTTAAAGAAATTTCGACAAACCGCGTAAATGTCAATTTAAATACTTATTTTGTTATAAAATGACTGAGTTTGTAGAAGATCTTGATGAGAATGTACTATCATTAACTGATAGAATTATGATTGTTGGAAATATATATATGAGTGCTCATGAATTATGTGTATGTTAACTAATGATCCCATCAATATTTATAGAGTGAACCCTTTGTTTACTGAGTTATTATTCAACTAATTAAGGATTATATTATTCACTGTGTTTAATTACAAACCTCACATCCTTTAAAACTCAACACATCTCTTACAATGCCAAATGATTTGTCAACGTGGTAAACTTTGCTTATTACAACTTAAAATTAGGTGTCATGTACAATTTTCTCGGTAATAAAGTATAACCTCGTTTTCGAAAATAACCGTTAATTTCAGAAATTAGGAAGTCCTGACTGAAAAGCTGTCTTTATGATCATGGAAATGTATCAATGAATGGAGATCTTCTGTACTTCGAGACGAGAACTAGGTCGCTATTTTTGAACTGGAGGAATATCCATACACCTTTAATAAGGCAACCTTCCAATGAAAACATAATTACAAGTAAAGGACATGGGTAGGATTTAGAAAATCATACAATAATACCAAGGTTGTGCAGCATAAACCGCAACTCTGACTGGAAAAGAATATGTATCTCAACTATTGAATGTCTGAGTCGTTAACAAAACACTGTATCTGATGACTAGCAGATGAGAGTTAGCAGGACGTAAGACGTCTAGACTGTCTACTGACAAATGGATATATTCTGCCATGCTCAAATAAATGTTTTTACTAACGTGAGCTACTACTTGAGGATCATATGTGTTTCTGTGATATTTACAATTAGTTTATTTCCGTGTGCTTACTAGTAACATGTAGAACTGCGCGATTCGTACTCTTTTATTCACGTATGGGTCATTATTAAAATCAGAGATCATTTTGTGAACACAGACGAAGATTATCCATCTGGAATTCAAACCGACCAAGGATTACTTTACAAAGCAATCGTCATTTAATACAAATGTGACTGTTCCCACGACCAGCAAAGAGTCTGGAGAATAGTACACCATGTATTAATCAATAGAATGATGTTTTTATTGCCAGTTCACCCAAATGAAGCCATTAATAATAATAATAATAACAACATATTCTTAGTTACTTGTCGGTCTCAACACATCGTACTGGGCAAGACTGCTGAATAGGTAAACCGAATAAATGTTTGTTTTGAAACTAAGTTTGACGAGATTAAGATTTCGGAACAATTGACGTTTGTTTGTTCTCACCGAAGTTGGGTTTATTGGGGCTTTTCGTCCGTTTTATTTCTCTTGTACGTTTCGCATCATATTTACCACTGCATAAGGTTGAAGCACCTAGTGAATATCGGACCACCTCACACCATGTAGACTATCTTAAACTTGACTAGACGTGACTGAACTTACTTACAAGCTCTTGTCTGTATAAACTAGTGAACTTGATGTTATGCCCTGTTTGCTGTTATGCTTCAATGTTTTTCGGACCTTTTCGAGTATTCTTCGTGTGAAATAAATACACTTGATGATGCTTACATTTTCGATTGACCTAACTCACTTAATTTACCGGTCCTTTCATCCAAGATCTCACCAATTTTTGTGTTGATTTGGTGAAATAAATTTTGGTGAACATTTGTTGTACTTGCAGTTGTCACCTGATTTTCATTTATTTAATCCCTGTCTCCAGTCGTGTACTTTAAATAGGGTCATGTTAGTTTGTTAGTAAATACTCACTCGTATATTCTATGAACGAAAGCTATTGTGTATCTGTATTTTTTGTAAGTTTATGTCGGAAATTTCAGACACTACACAACCGATATACGAATATTTCTCATAAATACTTGACCCATCACATGAAAGACCTTACATACCTATTTAGAAGTGATGTGAATATACATAGTTGAGGTTCCCCATAATTGGACGAAGCAGACCTCTTGTGATGATTATCGGTTTCAACAGTTGTTTAACCAAGATAAATCTCTGCGATTAACAGAAATATTCAACTCGCATTTATTGGCAATGTTCTCAGACCTATTTTTTAATGCCTACTGACAATATATGATAAATATTTATTTCGACTGACAGTGTGAATAGTGTTAACAACAGAGTCGTGTAAAAGACCGACCGATTAGTCGATTCGACCCACAGTTATCCGACCTGTGTCGGCGAATCAGTAGAATTGGCAATCAAGAGTTTTGTGTTGATTGAGTATAGAGAATGAAACACTAACGCTTTGAGTGTTGTAACGAACTGAATTTCGATTTGACTACTGTGTGAGAGTTTCGGATTTCATAAGTAATTGATTATTGATTGCATAATATTCATACGCAGATAAGTGAGAACGTCATTCCAAATTGATTTCTGATGAAAATCTCACTAGTTGTTTATGTTCAAAACAGACATGATTTTTCTTTTGAAATCTATTGACCTTTATCAAATGATCATGATGTAGATGGTAACTTATCTGGTTTCCGTTTACATGCTTCGAATGATTTTGTTGATTCAGTAATTTATTGATAAACAGATTAAGATGAAGGGTCACTAAAGTCCCGATTTATTATGCATGGTAATCATGGTATTCAGTTTTGCACGATATGACATGAGTGACACAGAAACATTTGAAAATAGTTTTAAGAAGTAATTACGATGGTTATTATGATTGCGATTTCTGATACAGTTGTTGTCATTCTACGGCTTACACCGTGAGATAATGTACTGATTCATCTATCCAGTCAGTTGTCTTGTAAATATGAAATGATCCTTCCTCGAATATATCACGAATCGATTAGTGACGTATGACAAATTATTTAACACTTGTCGCTGATAAAGGAAATGGAGGTAAATGAACAATGGAATGCTCTACCGTTCTATTATGTGACTTCACAGAGGTGGATGCACGCAACCACACTGGAGGTGAAAACCTGTAGCTACAATTCTGGGTTTGTTTGCTATGTTTTCAATGCAATGAGTTTGGTTCGAGTAAGTCACATTTTCTACTGCATTAAGGTTGTGATATAACTCAAGTAGAGTCACTTGTTCCATTTAGTGAGTGGTGGTGAGTATCGTTTGTTGATTCGATTGAAATGAAGATGGAACTGTTGGTCATTATCGCATAGTTTGAAACTCTCCATTACTCTACATTTATCAGACCACGGTGTATTCAGTTGTAGACTTGAATTTATCTTGAACCATTGACGAGACTTCATTTTTATTGACATATCGCAAGCGCTATTCAATAAAATACCTAATGTGTTCACAAGTGTAGTAATATCCTAATGAAATACGTTGTGGGAATGCTCATAATATTGTGTATGGATAGCTTGCTAACCCATATGATCAGTAATATATTACGTTACCATTCCTGAATGGCCATACATTTTATCTTTAGAACACCATAGAAATGTTATTGTAATGATACTCTAACAAAAGACAAGAAACATAATAGCTGAGAAAATAAATGTCAATCGACTAACTTGAAATGCATCTGTCACTCTACTTGTTAACGTCCTTTCGAATTCCATTGGTATACTTCGAGTATCTTCATTTGGATCATCATTGTTTACTTCATCAAAAGGCTCTTCGTCTCGTACAACAGTTGGTTTGCTTTTGTTTTTATGCGTCTCGGGTAAACAGCATATTAAAAGACAAAACGATTTCTTGAATTCGATGTGATTGTATGTCTACACTGATATATTTATGTATAAATATAAAAAGTACTCATTAATTATTGACATGCTTGATAATATTACAAATTCAAGAATTTTTAAAAGCAATTGTAAATACATTACTGATCAGTTAATAAATAATATGGATAAGGTGATAAATCCTAAAAGACAGGTTCTAATAAACAAATAAAGTGAAATATATGGTTGTGGGGTTGATGTTTAATGAGAAGTCTAACATAAATTTCAGTTAATAGTAAGGAATGTAAATAAGTACTTGTACGATAGGTAATGGAATCGATGAAATCCTTCAATGAAGTCCGATATTAATAATTATATTTGAAATAATAGAATTAAATTATAATAAGGGAACATGTATTAAAATTATGTATAAACTCTCTTGTGAATGGAAACTTTCTGAAATTTTTTCAAGGTAAACTTTCTTAATTTTGAGAAAGTATTTGACAGCGTGGATGGCAGAATATTATGGAACACAAAGTAAAAAGCAACACGGAGAACACCAGCCCAATCGCATTTGATAGAGAGACTCTGGAACCGGTGGAAAATTTCATGTACCTGGGCAGCATCATCGATGAACGCGCAGGATATGATGCACGCGTAACAGCGAGGATTGGCCAGGCAAGGGCAGCATTCCTACAATTAAAGTACATGTGGAACTCTTAACAACTGTCTGTCAACCAACACGAAATTCAAACTATCCAATATGAAAGTGAAGACAATTCTACTGTACAGAGCTCAAACTTGGAGAACTACTACTAACATCATCAAAAACGTTCAAGTATTTATAAACAGTTTCATACATAAAAAACTGAATTTCCGTTGACCGGATACCATTAGCAACAACCTACTCTGGGAGAAAACAAACCAGCTTCCAGCTGATATAGAAATTAGGAAGAGACGTTGGTGGTGGATAGGATGTACGTCGAGGAAATCACCAAACCACATCACAAGGCAGACGCTAACTTGTAATACTCAAGGGAAGCAGAAAAGATGAAGGCCGAATAACACACTACGTCGGGAAATGGAAGCAGACATGAATAGGATGAATGGCAACTGAAAATACTGGAAAGGATTGCCCAGGACAGAGTTTGATGGAGAGTGCTGATGGACAGCTTATGCTACTCTTTCAGGGATAATAGGGCGTAAGTAAGTATATATTCGTGTAAGTATAAATGCCCAATTATGTTAACCTGATTACATCTATAGGACGACATTTATGGAGACGTTGAGAAGCGCAGTATAAGGAATATGTGAGTAATAACAAGTTGTAAGGAGAAACGTCACGATACTTGTTAATGAAATGTTTGAAGATGTAGTTTTTGTCTGATTAACAGATAGACGGGATAATACGGTACATTGGTTGTATTAAAAAAAAACTCTTCAAGGATGTCATTAATCAGAGAAGCATAAACAATTCTGTCTTATCAGTCATACTTCTTAAACATTTGTGTCTCCTAATTAGTGTTTTACGTGTTATTAGCAATTTTATATAAGCATCTGTAATAAATAATGTGTTTCCTTGTATGGGATGTTCTCAGTTTGTTTTGGAATGTCATCAAAATATTTAATAAAAATTATATTGACTTAGCCAGCATTTGAATTTTAAATTCGCAAATCCTCATATCTTAAATATGAAATGGGATTAAATCCTCAACATGTTTTATGTACACCAGTTTATTGTCGTTCTAACTGCTTTGTAATCAATAAGTTCTTAGTGCAAATTCATTGATGTGGCATTTTGAATTGTCCTTCACCTAATACATTTGAATCTCAATATGTTAATTCTTGTGTAAGACATAAAAAAAATCTAACTGTCCTGCTGGAATAAGTTGATGTCAGTGATTTAAAGCTTCTATAATAAAAAAATTGTTATATCCCGTTAGCGGAAATTTTATAACTGACTTATTTTACTTTCCTTTGTTTTTATAATATAAAATGCTTTATCATAGTCTTATATAAACAGACGATATGATTTTCGCAACACTCAATACATACATACGTACATACATACTGAACTTGTTATTCTATATTGTCTTTTATTATTTTTTTCTTGACCATTTGTAAAACAAACAGACTGTTTCGTGTCAAATAGTAAAGGATTTTTGCGAATTTTTTATTTGAAACATTTATTGCCCAATAAGTTGTTTGTTGTTTTATGATAAAAGAAAAGAAATGACGTGAAACACAACATCTACATGCCTAAAAATCTGATTAGAAAAACTTTCTGAATACTTCATTTGTTCGTATATCCAAGTCAACATGATAAAACGTCTTTTTTTAATTAGATATTGTTGGAATTTTTAAGGATAATAAAAAGTTGAAATAATGCAGTAGCATATGATGCCTATTTATCACTTCGTTTAATTCTGTATTGTAAGATATTTTAGGAAGAAAGTTAATTATTGATGTATTTCGTGACAATTTTTGGTAAACCATATAATAATAACTCCTGAACAATTCATTTTAATAATCTAGTTTCGATATATTTACTATATCCCGCGTACGAGATGGTAGTTGTGCACTGTTGAGGGATCCCATACACTAGGAAAAAACTGCCTTCCAATGCTTCCAACTTTTCAATGGTGGTCCAATGTTTATTCCATTCATAATGTATCAATCTAAACTCAACAATCTCTATAACCCTATACCAAAAAATCTTATTTATTGATAAAAATTGTATTGTTAAAGCTATTTAAGAGCTTATTCATTATGACCAATAAGTGAATAGTCGATTTAACCAATGAAAAACTACTCAGTCTGCTCATCTACTTAAATTCTAAATATAAAATTTTATTGTGACTTAATTTTAATAACACAGTAGGGTAAGTCGTTGGTATGATTTAGAAAAACAGTTATATGAAACTTTGAATAATACAAACATTGAATTGTAAAAATAAAGTTTATTTTGTATAGTTGACCAGAACTTAATTTCTCTGAACAAGGTATCAGTTAATTATGTATGTATAAATTGGTAGAGATTACTTATTTATGTTACATACTTAATATTAAGCAGTGAAATGCATCACTGACGGTAACATCGATCAATAGAATTATTAGAAAGGAAAAATAATACAATCAATGAAAGTACTTTTGAAATAGTGATCTGACAATTATTTTGGATCCTCTCTGTGTAATGTATAGTTGAAATTCTATTAGTCAATCTAATAAGCTTCTGAAAATTATTCTGACATGACTTCAAATAATTTTTTGTAGTGAAAATGATATCTTTTCATAAATATTCAAGTGTTTTGGTTTCATTATTATAATCGAAATGAAGCAACAAAATGATTTGTCATTACTTTGATCTGACATGATGTCCAACTTGGCTAAGATAATTTGTAACTTATACTCAGTATTCATACTTTTATCAGTCAACATATTACCTTAAATGTAAGGAGAAGGAGATAAGTTTTCAACTACAGTACTATATTGATTGAGAATTAAGAAAATCATACTATAACCGCCACTTTCTCATTAAAGTATACTTTATTCCGTTTTGCTCTACTTTTTGTGATTAACACATTCATATTTGCATTGAATTTGATGAATAAATAAACTTAATGTAGAAAACTCGTTTATCTCTTCTAATTACATTTATGCAATCGGTTTCTTATATTTTAGAAAACAATTTGAACAATACGAAATATTTCGGGATAAGTTTAGTCATTCTGCAGTTAAACTCATTTTGTTCATCATCCAAACAAGAACATTGCTAGTTTCACAGTATATATTCTTTCCTTTGTCATGGATGACAAAAGGCCTGATACAGGTCGTGTTAACGCGAAATGTAAATATATCATGCTTCTTATGATTATGACAGTCACATTATACCTATCAATTGAACTATGTCTTTTCACATCAGATCAATATGTATTTTACAAGTAAATTAAAATCATATTTTTCCCGACAATTTTTCATATTTCACTTATTGCCTTTGTTTCATATACATTCATCGATCCAGATTAACTTGAATAACATACTATAAGACTTAGAGATTAATTCATGTTGACGAATCGTTTTTTATCTAAAATTAGCTGGTAATAAGCCTCTGAATTATTTTATCTCTGTTCAATATGTTTGAATTCAATTCCTTGTTAGGTGATTCTCACAGATATGACTAAACATAAACTATGCGCCCTCATTCGTTTTTCACTCCTCTTCCAAGTTGTATGAACTCAGGCTTCAAACCCTATTCAATGTAATACATGTCTGGTTTTCATATGATTAGTAAATTTATGAATAAATTCCAGACATTAAGTTTTCATCATAAAACCAAATTCGACCATTTAATCAAATCAGTGCTGAATGACCAGAAATTATTAGGAATTTTGAACCACTTGGCCGACAAAATGGAACAAAAAAGCACAGCTGTTTAGGGTAAACATGTAATTTAGAGAAGGATAACTTAATTTAGATATAGAATTGATAAAAACAACATTAATTCTGGAATGACATAGAAAATAATAAATTATTAAAATTAATGGCTGAAAGTGAACCAGATCAGTAAGAATATCATATTCTCATTAGATGTATAAGTGATATCTATAATAGGCTAACAGTGAATACCTCATCGAAAAGGTACATGTTACAGAAATAAATAACGCATATGAACTAATAATATCATTAATTTTCCACTTTTTAAATATCATCCATACGAATGTATTGTGAAATTCATTATATATATATGTCAAGAAAGTTGGTAAACATTTGGCTTATTTGATTACAAGTTCATTTTTCAGTATTTTAATGCTCTAAGCTATAAAATATGGATACGATCTATCTTAAATACTTTGAAAGAGGACAGTTGCATACACTTTACAGAGTATCACAACAGCTTGATTAAAAAGTAATCTAATACATTCTTGAACAATTGATTCCTTTTTAATGGTAGACTAAGGATCATGATATGTGAATTCTTCACACATATTTGTATAATGAAATTAGCAAATGAATATGATGCATAAAAAAGATAAACTGGAAGCTGAAAAAGCCAACCTACATTTTAATTACAATATGGTTTTGCTTTTATCCACTGTTATAATAATCAGTAAATTAACTTGAATAAATGATAGATCGTTTAATGTTCGAATTATGGATGGTTTCATTCACTTAGTATTATTTTTTTGTATCTACTCATTATTGTTAAGGAGCGAAATTGATCACTCTCTTGTTGGAATATATGCATCCTGTGGGGACTGCCTCGATATTGTCTTAAGTCACAAGCTTTATAAGCAAAGATGGATAGTGGCTAGTAGTGGAATCCAGGATGCGTATTTCACCTTATTTAGGACTTCTCAGCTTGATGTATCTGCATCCCAGATTGAACATCAACTTTTGGATGTAAGTACATTCAGCTGACGAATCCCAAATAGGAAGAAACGTACATCCTATATTCCACTGCTAGCCACTATTCATTTCTTCTAATATGGATAGTTTCATTTATTTTGGAATATTTAGGATAATGACTACTTTACAAGTTTTCAATAGAAATATATCCATACTATCAAAGATATTAAACTATTTAATACTATCAATTAACTTGTAATTTGTTTTAATTGAAGTGCTGTGACGGAACAAGGCCTACCATATTTAACACGTCAAGAAAGACATAAATATGCAAATCTGTAAGTCAATCAATTAATAAGTTTTTTTATTGAAAATGTTTTTCTTTTTAAAAACAAATGAAAATTTCCAGTGAATATTTTTAGTGAACATTAACCACTTGACTGATTTTACTTAACAGAATCACATTTGTAAACAGTAGGAATACTATAGATTTAACTTGATGAATCGAAAGAAAATGGTATGGATTAATTTGCATCAATTTATTTATTACGTACCAGTTAAGGTATTTCATCTCTTGAGAGTCAAAACTCAATTTTGGATTTCGTTCTATAGAAAAGTAACCTTAATTATTTCACTCTGATCAGTCAATAAATATATATATACGATGAAGGTTTTAGAAGCCTTTAAGGAGCCGAAGAGTTTCGATCCAATGAGAAAGTGATGAATCGTTCTTGACTATCAACGTAGCATGTTACTATTGGAGAGTAGTATAAATTGCCACTTTGCGGATTGGCTTAATTATGATGTTGATATAACAAACGCTAATATCTATAAGTAACCATGTTTTTCTGTATATTTTGATTCTTACCCAACAAACACTATTCTATCTTTCTTCTGTCTTCTGATTTACGATTGTGAGATTCTATACGTTCAAGCCTCGTAGTTGTATACCGTAATCTGCTTTAATAAATTAGCGGATATAACACTTGAATCTCTTTTTTTACATAAACGTAGGTAGTTACATCATTCAATGACCCAGACTTCCAATATAAAGTGAAAAACATAGTCAAATACACAAGTTTCAAGTTCATTTTCCGTATGACTACTGTCAGTAAATGTCTGTTTTATTTACAAGTTGATAGGAAATTCATAGTGAGATTTCTCTAATGAAAAATTTCCCAAATAAGCATTTCTTTGTATTCACATGTTCGAATAGAGACTTTGCTGTTTATGATCCAGAATCAATAGGAAGTTGATGAACGGAAATTATAGGACCGATTGTGGTGAAATTCGCCTTCTTGCATGAAATAATCACTAGATCCATTCTATACATTATATCAAACTACTCTGTGTATTATGCAGTCTATATCATATCATTAAACACATACCAAACACTTATTCACTAGATGTGAAACCTTTTTAATCATATTGGATTGACAAAGTCCGGTGTACCATGTAGCCCATATATTAAAATCTCTTATTTTCGTAAATCAATAGAAATCAATATACTGTTTTTTCATTACCTGAGAAAATGATACAGTAGATTACTCTGTACGTAAGGGTAATAAAAAGGTATTCACTCTAAACATACCAATCAATATCCAACTCTAGTTAAAAGTGATCATCCAGTTTATCCTTTCTAAAATGATTGCGTAATCCAGGAATTAATATTCTAGAACAAGCTACCTTTTTCATACATGAATTACTCGAACTCATACAATTATAAAAGCTTTGGGTTCATTTTTAATCATGCTCGAACCTACTTTGTTCGCTACAAGTATACACTGGATCCATCACGGGAAACATAGTTTTCTGGCTATTAAACTAACACGTTTACGTATGTATATCTGAAATGTGCCCGCTATTAAATAACAAAATTAAATGCATACTCTTAGACGATAAATAATTTTCAATATTCTTAAAGAATGAGCTGAATATCTATGTTTTTTAAATGAATACTATCATTTCATCAAACAACTGGTTCATAATCTTTTTTTTTTCTATGTCAGATCAGTTGATGATAAAATAAAACTAAGAGCTGCACAAAAGAAAGCTGCTACACTAGAGTCTACTACAAATGCAGTCAGAATAACATTAGGCTTAATTTCAATGTTAATAATTGGCTATATATCAGATAGACATGGTCGTCGTGTTGCTATAGGTATTCTACTCTTTGGAGAATTTTTACATATAACAACAGTGTGTAAGTCATTAATTTGTTTTTGATTTCTACTGATCATAATATTTGATTTAATTATTTGACAGACTGATGATTAGGATCTTCTAAATGTATAGTTAACTTACATTAGATATTAATAATCGATGCTTTTTAGTGGCACATCGTTTTTTACATGGTAATATTTCTACAAATATTTGATATGATCATTTATAGTTGAATTCATCAGTTGATGCAAACTAGACCACCATTGAAAATTTGAAAGCACTAGACGGCTATTTCGTCTCAGTATGAGACTCATGAATTTAACTATTAAAACCACTACAATCTACAAAATTCTCCATTCTACTGATCATTTATCACTGAACTATATGAACATACTGTTATGTAAATGTAAATGTTCTCCGGAATAAATTTTAAATTGAAATTTGATAATATACTGTCCTTACAAAACGTTTTCAACTGAACAAGTTAGTTTATCCAATAGCCAACGTCCTATCGTGATAGTAAGGATATTTGTTTTTTAAGTAAATGACTTACACTAGAAGAACAGGGAATTATCTTAATGTGATATGAATGAATGAAGAAGGGACTCTGTGGTCACACAATATGCATATGGAAGAGAGAATGAAAAGTGGAATCATAAGAAATGTTACGAGTTTAACTGTGTTTATTCTGAAAATATTTTTTCTCTTCTGCCTTCTTAAGCTATTGAAGTTAAATAATTCAGCAGTATCTAGTGATATTTAGTCAAAGATGAATATATTTTTATATGATGAGATTCTTCTGTCTCAAAACATTCTCATAAATAAAAATAATGTATTTATTCTATCTCTGTCCACTTCAACACTTGTCATCATGAGAAATACTGATGTGTTTCATTGGTATTTGAATTTTAACACATGAAGGGATAATGCATATTCTTAGTCCACACTCCAATCCACTAAGGTACTTTTATATCTAACTATTATTTCACTGTATTTATACATTACTGGTGTTGGGAATATTATTTGACGATTATCAATATTTTATCCCCTATCCCGTTCAATAAAAACATCTGGAGATTTCCGAATTACATACAATCGATGTCTTTTTCAGTTACTTTTATACAGCATAGGGAATTAGTTTATGTTGTCAGAGGCCTGTTTCTAGGTACAACTATATTTTTATACGCTCTATGGTTATTACCTTTCCCAAGACTGGGTAAAGGAGGATTAGCAACCCGGTCTCGTAAAAACGAACCTCACTACAAAAACGCTTAGCAAAAAAATTTTTAAACTAATTGAACTCTGTAAAGGGAGTTAACTGAGCTTCATCTTGAAAAGTTATGACGGTTCACGAGGAAAGCCTAGATTCTTAGGGAGCCATTTTACTCGATGCGCCTTTTGACAACTGTATCAACGACTAATACAGATATATAGAATTTCATGACAGTGTTGGAGAGTGGAAGAGTAGTTTAAATAGCAGTGAATACGTGAAACACAATGCATACAATCTGTATAAAAAGGTTAAATTCAGGAGAGCTGTTATTATATTCCGGTCACGAAGAAGAAAATGTCCTACACACAACGAATCGCGAAAAAGGCAAGGATTTCTATGAATGTAACAATGATAAAGCATCACCAGCGATGGCACAGAAGATGATAAGGATCAGATAAGTAAGGAGCAGTACCAACCTAGAGATGTGCTTCGGGAAAGACGTAATCATTCTAATAAGGAACTTGAACGTAATACTCGGTATGGGCGACACCCGTTGTAAAGATACGATGAGTCTGACATCCACTGAAAGAAAGAAGAATGGCAAAAGAATGACAGATCGGTGCGCGTTTAACAACATTGATACAAGTGTTGGCATTTTTCACCACAAATTCATTCACAAGGCACATGGATTTCATCAAAACACACTACGGAAAACCAGATTGATCACATCCGCATCAACGAAAAAGTCGTATGTTATATGTAAGATGTATAAATAGAGGGAGGATCCGTCATAACTTCAGATCACTACCTCGTGTTGGCCAAGCTGAATTTCAAGCTTAAGAACGGCTGGAAAACCAGAAATTCGAATGCTCAGCACATACTCTCTTTTGGGTAGTAACAAGCTTAGTGAGTTCACGATAGCTATCAGCATTAATCTCCAAGTCTTATACGATACAGGAGGACATGAAGAATCCTTTATGAATAGAAAATGGAAAGAGTTAAACAACCGATAACTTCAGTATGGCAGGAGCTGATGTGTTTCAAAAAACAGCATAAATAATGGATCTCCATAGACGGTCTGATCAATAAACAAGAAGACAGCAGTCAACAACAGCCAAACAGGAGCCAAAAAAATAAAGCCACAGGCCAAATATACAGAAGCCTTACAGTCGGACGTTAGAACAGATAAACGCAAATACGCAAAAAGCCTGGCAACCACAGCAGAACAAGCTGCAAGCCAATAAATTATAAGGCAACCAAAGACAATCAGGATTTAGCAGGGGGGATATGGTGTATTAGAGCGACCAGTCAAAAACGAATAAGGTAGACGATGAAGTTCAGGAGAAGCAAAACTGATGGGTAGAGCACTTTGAAGAGCTCTTGAGTGGATCTGCACGGCTGAATCCAATGGTCATCGGGGCACCATGCACAAAACTTTCAACAGGTGGAACCCTACCAAAAATAAAATAGATAATCAATGTTATAGGAAAAATCAGGAATGGCTAACCGTAAAATTGGTCACCATACCTACTGAAACATTGAAGTCGGATATGGAGGCAACTTCAAAAGTTCTTCCACGTTCTGTTCAAAAATATTTAAGAGCTAAAACAAGGCAAAATCAAAGAGAGATTGCCCATCAAGATATCAAAGAAAAACGCTTTTAATAGATGCGTAAACCACATAAGAATCACACTGGTGTCTACCAATGGAAGTTTAAAGTAGAGTCTTGCTAAAAGTAATAAAAGATTCAATATACACTTAACTTTACGATTAACGAGCTGGCTTCCATACAGATAGATCATATTCTATCCGAATTGTAATACAGATTACCATCGTTTAAAATTAAATCGAATGAAACTCATCGCCATGTATCAACTTTTTTTATAATAAGAAAGCATTTGACAGAGTGAACAGGAAGATCTTGTGAACTCTTAGTCAACACAAACGCCTATGAGAGAATGAATTACAAAGTCATAGATTTTCAGCAACTCGGTGATGCATTCCATGTGAAGATTAGTATCAGAAAAGACTGACTACTCCGATGTTTCTCTTTCTGTCAACTGTTTTCTGGATTATGAGACCTTCACATCTCACGAAAAGTACGACACACAGTGGAAAACTTGGATGCAATTGGATAATTTGCACTTGCAGATAAATTGTCCCTCACACAATGAGGCAACTATTAGACTATATTACAAGACAAATACTAACTTGGAAACTGAGTATACCAATGCACATATGGAACGGAGAATTGGAGGTGGACATAAGGTCGATATGAACCACTTTGAAGCAAATGGAAAGAAGAGTTCAAGACACAATTGACTAGATATCCTTGGTAGACCTGTCAACAAAACGATCGATTTTCAACCTTCCAAATCAAATATGAAGGTTTATTTGGCAATGTAAAAATCGTATTTTGGAGTATCACCAATTTTTAACAGTACACTGATTGACATTTTTGCTAAACTGTTAATCATAGTACCTTGCTAAATTCTTTGAGACATTTCATAATGTGTTATTCTATGAATTCCATTTATATCACCACCTTTAATTTACAATTATACATGTATCCAATAGCTGGTGTTAGTAATTAAAATTACCAAATAATTAAAATTTTTATGCTTCATTTACTACAATATCAGCATGTAATTCAATTTCTTTGATTTTATATTTTTCGAATTAAAGCTTTAATAGTAACATTTAATTTGAATGTATGGATATTACTCCTTGCTGGTTTTTTTGAGGCTTTCTTCGGTGGTGGTCTTTTATCAATTTATGCTCAAGTAGCAGCAATTGTGGTTGACATAATACGAATTTCACACGCTAAAAAAGATCTGACTGTTACAACGGAAAAGATTAGCCATGATACATGGATTTGGTTTACTGTGTTTGAATCTATAGCTTTACTATGTTCATCAAGTGGCAGCCCGATCGGAGGTTTGTATACTCAACTTATTAATATGTCACAAAATGTTTAATTTCTTTGTTTATTTAATACTTCAAATCTTGATAGTCTAGAGTCTGTTGAATATATACGTTCCCTTTAAAAAAAACAATGGAAAGAAAACTGCTGTAGACATCAATATTCTAACACCATTCATTAGATATGAATAGTATTTTAATGAGTTGTAACGATAAAAAATAAAACGCTTAAATCAAAAATGGCATTAGCTTGACAGCAAACAGAATGCTCGTTTATTTCTTAATTTACTATTACATATAACACAGTTAATTTCAAATCTGGCGTAGGAATTTGCAAAGATAAATTATGCAAGTATGATTACAGTTCTTTTCAGAAAAAGGAACATATTTTTGGTGATGGTTACTAATTGAAACCAAAATGGGGAATGAATGTATAGGTAAGTCAATGGTCATAAGCCATCGTGATACAAAACTCAACAAATAAATCAATGAATTCATTTGGTATTGTTTACTTGTATCTTCGCATTGTTTATTAGGACTACAATTGGTCAGTCTTTTATTATCATATGTGCATGCTGTGCGGACTGTCTCGGTGTTTACTTAAATCACAAGCTTTATAAACAAAGATACATAAACAGGTGGCTATCAGGACTCAGTAGCCAGATGGATAACGTGATGGTGTTGAGACTAACGGTATTAGTTTCGAGTCCTGAAGTGAAAATCAACTCTATGATGCAGGTACACCTTGCTGACGAGGTCCAAATAAGACGAAACACGAGTCTTGCATTACACTGCTAGCCAATATCCATCTTTGTAAATAAATCAATGTTTTCGAAAATTCCCCTACTTATTTTTATCACTGACCAATTAAAATGTTTATTCTCTTCATTGGTGCCGTATATAAATTTATACTTATTATCAGGAACATTAATTTATCAATTTGGTTTCAACGCTGTGATTATCACAGGTGCAAGTTTATTTGTACCAAGTTTAATAATTTTATGCATTTTCCCGGAAACCAATAATACATATGGATCACCTATTAATGTTGAAGATAATAAAGACAATGATTTTAATGAAGCTCATACAATTGAAATTCAACCTGAATGGAAAGAGAAATTCATTATGCGAATAAAAGTTAGTTCATTTATTCTGATCAATATTATTGATAATTAAAAATAATAAAAAAAAGTATTTCAATAATTTTATTAAATAATAAAATTTTAAACGACATGACAACAACATAAATCAATTTTAATAAATAAAATTGAAATAACTCTCGAAATTTTATCTACAGTCTAAATGACGTCATACAAAATTTTTTTATTTTATATGATAAATATGACAATTTCAACTTGAATAGAACATTTCTTATTACAGTCAATATGTTAGATAACAATAAGTGTAATTAGTTACATATCAACATTATATTCTAACGTCTACTTCATTAATAAATGATACTATTTACTTAAAAACAAATTGTTTCTAAATGTATATGACTAATAGATAGTTTAATACTTAACTACATAATACATATTTAAGTATGCCTATTATAGTAAATATAATGAAATCTAATTATAAAAAGTTATTTATTCTCTAAATGGATTAGTGTTGAAGTGTACTTTTATTGAAATTGTTGAACTTCTCTTCCCAGTATAATAACACATAGAGAATAACTGAACGCATATTTGGAGATAGTTTCCATGTTTCTCAACTAGTGAACTCATTAGTAGCTCCTCATAGCTTTTAGTTTGCATGAAATCTTCTAAAAGTGTGGGTTAATAAAAATATTTCTGCACTAGGTAGTGTGATTCAAGTTAATTACCCATTCTAGTGACATTCTAATGCATATATACACATATTCTCCAATGGGAAGTCGCAATGTCCTTACAAAGCTCCTCTTCATTCGAAGAGTCATAGGACTTCCTCAATTTGTTGGGTGGGTGACTGAAATATAATTTTGTAGGACTATTTTTCTATAGCATGTAACTGATGCATGTTTTCAGATGTAATTGCTTTTTGTTTGTTTAATTAATAAATAGAGAAGAAAACAGACCAACAGCTTCAGTGTTCACGCTGAATTTCTCTTGTATCTAATACTACTATCCGTTGTAAGCATTTACTTTATATATATATATATATATATATATATATATATATATATATATATATATACTAGAACTCATCGGCATTGGTTAAAGTTAGACATTAACACCGTTGGATGTTGGTTCAGTGGTCTAGAGTTAAAGCAATCACACCCAAGACTAAAGGTATTGGATTCTAGTCCGGCGTGAGGGTTCGCGAGTGCGCACTGTTGACAAGTTCTCTACTAGGAAAAGACGGCCGCTCAGTGCTTCCCAAGTTTTCAATGATGGTCCATGATTCCAATTAAAAAGAGGTTAGTTTGTTTTCTTAAACAACGAAAAACTAATCAACCGAGATGTTTAGACAGAACGTCACACTATGCAAATGAAACCCATGCAACTTAATCGACTTTGATTTGTTTATTCATTCTATACCTGGTAGATTTTCTGAAGGTATTGCATATACATATATCAAAAACTAAATAGAAATGCATTTTTGGTAAAAATGAAATGAAAATTAAACTTTATTCTTCAGTTGACTGATACAGACAAATGGATATATTTTTGGCAAGTAGATCTGATTAGCAAATTAAATAACAGTTATAAATTGCAATAAAAATATAAACTATACTTTTAGTCTACTTCTCATTTATTTCTTTTCCCATCAATCTTCAACAAATACTGTACTATAGAGTGTAGGACATTTGGATCCAATCTTAATTGTAATTATAATAATTATCGTACTCCTAGCGATCGGTGCTATGGCAGATCTTCATTACATTGTTATCTATCTCATGGGTTCACCATTCTTGTGGAATCCTCAACAAGTAGGAATATATATGTAAGTAGGTTTGTAATATTTTTCCTAGTAAAATACAGAAACCATTTAGTACAACTAATAAATCTGAAAATATTATACTGAAATGCCATTTAAAAATAGAAATTTGTGAATCACTTCTTCTACAGTCTCTTACGCTTCTCCTTTTTTAATAGTCTTTTTTAATAAATCAACAAAGCGACACCCCGACCATTCAGTTGAAGATGGTATGAAGGAGACCTGGCACGATTGATATTGTTGCTCTGCAGAATTTACCGAACCGGGCCGAAGTGGACTGTGTTCCATTATCTGAAATAATAGCATTTGATGGTCCGAAACGGTTGAACACTTCTGTAATTTTTTCATCGTGGCAGTGGTAGACACACTGGTCACTACGAAGACTTCCGGGCATTTTGAAAATGCATCGACGATAACCAGGAATTGTTTTCTCTGAGATGGTTCGGCTAAATATATGTGGGGGCATGACCAAGGTTCTGTAGGTGCTGATCATGCTCGAGGTTCATCTTTAGTGGGTAGTTAAGATGACTTTGCGCAATTGTAGCACCTCCTCGAAATCTAGTAATCTAGCCAAAGTCAGAACAAGTAAGCTATTGGCTTGATAAACGTTATCTGTTTCTAAAACGTAAATTATCACTTTTAATATACAAAACAAACAATTAATACAGTCTATTAAACAGGGACAAGAGAGAAATAACATTCCGAAAAGTAACTAGAGGATAAGCAAAATGGGTTAACGGACTTAATATCGTTCATGATAAACATAAAATTATAATTGGTGAATAAGCAAAATTTTGTCAATATAAGGTCAAAGAAAGTTGACATGGTGGTGGGCGTTTCCTGTCTTCATCAGTGGGTTCCTTTATCGATCACACTATACAATCATGTCAAAGAATGATCGTAACTTGTCAACATTTTATGCTACTGGCATTTGTCTAATCCCGTCGATATTGTCAGTATCGACTCTACGACCGTCTTCGTCGATCACGAACCTCAGATACTTGATGGTTTGTATGAAGAAATTTCACTCATCTTCACGTAAGTGGAGGCCAAATTGTATTAATTTTTAACAGGACACTATCAAGTCTGCAAAACAGTGGATATGAATAATCTAACAATCCATTATTTAAACCTGTCAAGAAATCAGCACATAAATGTAAGGATCCATCAACCTTTTTAACAACTACTAATTGGGCTGCACGGGGTTAAGATTTCACTGGTTTGGGGACATTTAGTTTCGTCGATTGTCCATTTCCTTATTTACTAGAGGTAAGGGGCATATGGAGCTGATCGTCTTTGTTTGAAAACAGGTCGAATTTTCGGCCTCAAATATAAAACTGTTTTCTGCACCGTCCGACACCCCAGGGTTTCACTGAATATTGTACTATACTTTGACTTAAGGCGATTGATAAGAGAGTTTATTGTTATAATAGTGGGTGTCTGAGTTCAGAGTAAAATCTGTGAGCAATTGAGATTCCGTGGCATATCTCATAATGACAGCTGCTACATCTGATTAATCACCAACAAACCTGAATAATGACGATTTATGGGGCAACATTTACTTCATAAAGTTTGAGATCTAAACGAGACATCACACTCAATTTCAGTTTTATTAGATCTCTGAACGCATTTCCGGCTCTGTGAGGCGTTTGTAAGACATTGTAGCCCAAATATACGCTAAGTATCACAGGAAACCAGAGTATTTAGTGAATGAAAATACAGGTGTGGACAACCAATGTATTTCAATACAAAAAACATCAAATATAAAAGCCATACGTTCAGTACTTCATTTGCAAATCCTCCATCAATTGTCAGGAGCTTCATCGTTTCTTCATTGCCATAACAATTACGCTCCGTTACCGTTCTCTCCGATTCTATTATCCCAACCTTCTGCCAGGTTCTCAACTTTCGATTGATGTTGTATGCTACTTGTGTCTGTCAACATAAGTAGCGTACACTACAAGTAATATGTGACCCAATATCAATCTGAATTCTGTTAGATACTCTATTTATCAAGATCTCACGACTTTCCTTTTTAACAGACAGATGGACACTGGAAACATCAAAAATGCTATGAACGTTCTTATGTGCGACTGATTTGAATCTCTTTACACCAGAAAGTAAAGTACTAAAACTGCGACAAAACCCGTCTTTGTGACCAAATCGCTGTGATTTGCTACATTTGTTAGTTTTATATGAGCATCTTTTTCCATAATTTCAAACATCACAAAACCAAAAAGCTCCTTTCGACCTTTGCGAATGACCAGCCTTGCTGTGAAATTTTTGTTGGTGCTTTGATTTCAGAGTAAATGCATTCACTGCATGTGTATCTTTTCAGTTTTTAACTAGTTTTGTGTCGTGTTTTAACTGTCGAATACAATGACACTCCGCCATCACATCTTGAAAATTTATAGATGGGTCCTGTTCCATGCGTGCTTAACTACAAGTACATGTTTCAGAATTAGATTATCACTGCAATCCACAGACAAAAACTAAACATTTGAATTGGTTTTGAGTTAATGAATCCAGATTAAAACATTCTCATGCTCGATTCACTTTATCAGTATATGTGAGAAAACCATCAATAGGTTTTGTATATTTTTAAACAGATGTAATGGATGCTGAATAGAGATGACTATTCACTGAAAATATTTCGAAGGATACTGCGTCGTGAAAATAAATATCTCTAGACAATTTCAGTAGTATAAAATTTGTACATTTGACGTGTCTATTTGTTCTTGACTTCCTGAGAAGAGGACGAACTCTTGTGCCATTGTTTAGAACAGCCAATTCAATTTTGTATAAATCTTTATATCTGTTGTATCAAGTATCAAATGTGATTCCGTTTTCGGGATTATAGATAAGATCGTTAACTGATTTCAATATCATATCCACTTTATTTTTGAAGATGACTAAGCAAATTTGGAAATCAGTATATCCATTAACTTTAAATATGTATTTTAAGAAATAGCTTATGTAGATAAAAATTTTCACATTATTTTTAAATTAACATGTACAATATGGATAGTGGCTAGCAGTGGAAGCCAGGGTGCGCATTTCGTCGTATTTGGGACTCATCAGCTGGACGTACCTGCATCTCAGAGTTTATGTTAATTCTGGGACACGAACCCGGTACCATTCGCCTCAAACGGCATCGCGTTATACACTTGGCTACTGAGTCCTGATAACCACTTGCTTGTGCAGTGAGGTGAATTAACCCCAAAGAGAGTACCAACATTGTGATGCAGGTACATCCAGCTGACGAGTCCCAAATAGGACGAAACAAGCGGCCTGGATTCCGCTGCTAGCCACTATCCATCTTTGCTTATAAAGCTTGTGAATTAAGGCAATATCGAGGCGATATGCACAGTATACACATATGCCAATAACAGACTGATCAATTGCGGTTTTAAACCTCAATGGGAAGATTCAAGCAAAGCAATACCAAGTGAATTTAACATGTACAATGTTTTGACTTTACCCATACTGAATCCATTGATTTTTAATTTTCAGTGGTCTCAGTGATTTCATATCATCTGTTTTGGGGATTACATATACAATTATTGTTGTTAAAATTCGTGAACGAAAAAGTATGAAACAAAAATTAGAAACAAATGGTAATCATACATCTCAAGAAGAACATAAAAATGATAAATCACGAATAGTATTTTTACGGAATATGAGATTACTGATCTTTACATTGGCAGGTACTTTATTATTAATGATAATAAACAAAATAATGATGGGTATTGCACATCAGTTCACACAACAAACAGCAAGTACTATTGCTTATATGGGTAAGTGGAAAATTTTTATTGTTTTTAAAAAAAATTTTTCGCAACATAAATTGTAATGAAGAGCATTAATTGAACATTCTCTCCACTGTATCAGACGTTATGATATCTTCAAATTATTGGTAATATTTAACTAAGACATCATTATATATTTCCAGAGATAATATACAAGGATATTTATAATTAATTGACAGTTGAATAGTTTTGGGAAGCTAACTTATAATTATATATTTATAGTATATTAATCACTCTACATTTATTGTCAACTTAGATAAACGATATATCATATACGTTCCATGGTAAGAAAGTAAGACATGGATAGTGTTTTGATGAATATGTTGAAATATGGTCTGTTGTTTTTGATGGGATGGACTCGGATTATCTAGTTTTTAAATATTCCTAAATAAATTGTAGTGCTGATGAGCAAGCACTCGACTAGATTTAAGCCATATTATCAAGCTGAAATTTGCTATCTTTGGAATGGTAGTCGATTAAATTGGACTTCATTTGAAAATAGTAATGCTCTTCAAAAATCATGAGTTCGATCTTCTATAGAGTAATGGAGTCCCAAAAAAGGGACAAAACAGCCGTCCAGTGTTTGCTGATTTTTACAACCAGTTAACTAAAATCAGAGAAGGCAAAGAACTTGATAATTGGTTGCCTACTCTTCAGTTACATAATAGCTAAAATAAATAATTATTTAGAATTATTATCACGTAATGTCGCAAAACGATTGTAGTCATACATGTGGGGCACTGTATGACGTTTAAGTGGTCTAGAAGTCAAGCTCTCACTACGAAACCTGAAAGCAACGGGCTCTAAGGATGTTAGGATTGTAGACCAGTAGAGTCCCGTATTAGGAACTAACAGCAATACAGATTTTCTTGATCTTCAATGAGAATTAGCCACTTTTTTTTTAACAGCTGCTATTCCTCGACTATCAAAAAGTTTCATCTCACCCGTTGCACGCTCAATGTTTGCACTATGCACACCACCAAACAATCAAGGTAAGTTGCAATTAGTATTTTAGTAAAATTATATGAACTGGAAGGCTTTATTCTGTCTTGTATCATACACATTTATAAGATCTGCACAAAACTACCTCGTTACAACAGTTCAAGTTTTGAAAGACAGTACGGTATACATTTACTGACTTTCATATATTTCTTCATAAAAGCTGCACAAAAACGGTGATGAATTTTCCTCTCATCCTCTAACAGTCAGTTGTAATAATACAATATTCTATTGCGTATTCTGTTTGACATTTAGTGATCGCATAGATAAAAGGTTTTTATCAGTTTAGATACCACATAACTAACACATGGAAGCAGTTTTATTACCAAGAATAATTTACCCGATTATTAATTTAATTATAATAATTTGATATCGTCTTGTACGTAAATTATCGCAATCAATTCAAATATTCACATTGCTCAGTCGACTTTCATTCGCATTCAGCCCGAATTCTTAACAACTTCCGAGATGTGGTTGAATTTTTATTCGAACCAAAACGGAAACTGTACTCACACTACCAATTAGTATTGTTTGATGAGCATGGTTTCATTTGCGAAATGCTATCTTACGTATATGAAACTGTAGATTGTAGTTGCTAAGTTAAGCAGTATCCATCCAAATCATTAAGTGTGAGCATATTTCCTTAAAATTCTTCCAATGTTGATTCACATCATTCAAATTTTATTTTCATAGACTTTTATCTGAGAGTATAATTCGTACTACAGTTAAACGTTGAAATTAGCAAAGATGCTTTTCACTTCAAATCAATTAATAAGTTAATTTTGACTTCTTAATATGAACAATAAACGTCTGACTGAGAGTTGTAGATCGATGCTTAGACTTAATCCGAAAATTGTGATACTAAACATTGAATTTTACTTTTACGCAGGAATGATTCAGTCATTTGGAGGATTCGTTGCTCGTATTGGATTCGTCATTAGTTTTATCAGCTTACCAGCTGTATATGCAGTCACTGTTACTATATTTCCTCCGATTGTATTTCTTGTTGTTAGTGGAATCTTGCTTCTAACAATCATAATTGATCTGTGAGTCATTACGATAAACTATAATTTGTATATGTATAGTCAGAAGTGGTAAAAATTTTGTTAGTTTTCCACTTTTTCACTTTTTCGAATGACGTGTACCGCTATCTAAATATTCACTAATGGAAAACCTGTTAATGTCTGACTTCAAGTAATCCACGAAATTTTTATGAATCTCAATTGATTATATTGCTTAATCACTAAGGCTTAATTATAATTCATCAATGTTGGTTCAGTCGACCTTTCCCATAGAAATGATGTTGTACTAGTGAACTGGCAGTACTACATTCGTCTATCGTAACTATATGACAAAACACTGAAACATTCTGAATAAGTTTCGCATGTACTATTGTTAGACAGATCAGTGTTCATTGGATGACATTTCCTATACGAAATCCTTTACTTTAACCGTATATTTGATAAAGCTAAAAAGCGTTTACAAATACGTAGGCGATAATCACATAATGATTATTAATCTTTAATGAATTTTGATGGTTTGATCACTTGACTTTTGCGACGGAAATAAAGAATTGAAACAAAAGAATCTAAATCAAATTGTGGGTGGCCCTGAAAAGGGCCTTCACTCGTTCTCTTAACAGTTCCGAATTTCATGAACAAAGGCGTTGCGATGATTCCGTTATAGCGCCGTCCATGGGACAGTAGATTCCATGGACAAGTGGTGGTGGGTCGTAAGTACAAAATAAATGAAGCATTGCTTCGCATGGACAAAAAATCCAGGCACTTCCATCAGCAGTTTCATGTGACGGTTGCGCAAGATTGCAAATATCACAAAGTCTGTTGTCATATGCGTTTTCGTCATTGTCGTCGTCTAGTTCAGTGAACTCCTCTGAGTTCATCGAAACAATTTCTTCGTCGTCATTGCTTAACGTTGCATCCATATTGACGTTATTTTGACAGTTGGTAACTTACAAAATACGAAGGAAAGACATTGACTGTTCACGGTAGTCCTTAATGAAAAATTATAATAACACTAATCAAATTACCTCGTTCGTCTACTCGGCTGTGAGGAACCGCTAGGTGTTCTAGGACCATTTCTCCAACATACGAATTTAATATACGGCTTCCGATCTCTGTGGAACTGAGAATCCCTCACCACATAATGGCAGTACGCGGCTCTTTCATACGTTCTAATGGCGCTCTTCAACGCTTTAAGAGATTGGAACGCTACGAGATACAATGTGCTCAAGAATAGGTTATCGGTTTCTGTGACAACGTGAGGAACTACAGAGCTCGTGCTTTGCATGTTACTACCGTCCATAATTGTAAGAAAATGTGCTCCGTCGTCATGTCCTGATATTCTATATCGATTTTAAGAAATAAACGACCAATTATAACGAACTCAAAACTAGTTATTTGATTGGACGAAACAGAATGAAAATTATTGGAAGATGGGGATGAAAAAAGTTTCACTCGAAAAAAAAATACAAAAATGGCCGTGCAGTAAATGTTTGCCGATTCTTTGAATGAAATACATGTGTTTTACTCATTGAAAATCTTTTGCTGAATAATCCCATTGAAAAGGGTTATTATGAAATTTAAGTTATCACATTCCATCTTAACAAGTGACTAAAAACTGTAGAAAATTACTCATTTCAACACATCATATTTGCTTTTCATCTTTTAAAGGTCACTACTACCACTTCTGAAAACAAGCAAAGTTCATCATTAAGAAGATGGAAATATCCAGTTAACGAACTGAAAGCTAACGAATATTTTTTATCAGAAAATCCATCCGATATAGTTTACCTGAGATTTTACAATCATATCCAGAAATTTTATTTGGACAAATATATATAAATATATATATTTTCGGTGATAAACTGTATTATAAATACTTTCATGAAGCTTCTGCCTTGTTCCTATTTATAAGTACTTCAGCTCTGTTTGATCAAATATATTCTTTACCTTGATGAAAGCGAATTTATACAATTTGGAAACATTTTTAAAAGCATTTCTAGCAATCATAATTGTAACTAACCTGCGATGATTGGCACTCATAATTTTGTTTGTAATAATGATGCAATAGGTCTATAATATTTATGTTCAAATGTAATTATCCTTCAACTCACAAAAAGACCATTTACTAAACTTTGTTTAAACCGGTTTGTTTAAAAGCAGATTAGTGAGCTTCTTTTAAAAAAGGTTTTCACTTATAACTTGAAATTTGAATTACTATTTGATTGTAGTGACTTGTGTAACGTCAATTAATATCGCGATAAGTGTCAACATTTTAAGTGACTATCATAAATGAATGTTATGAAATGAATATTTTCCATATTTCTATATTTTAATGGTTAAATAAAATTATTATCAAAATGAGGTTTGTGGAGATTGTAGTAATGTTAATAGTTGAATCCATGAGTCGATGTAAGATATAACACCACTTAAAACCTGGAAGCACTGGAGGGTCGTTTTTTCCTAGTATGGGACTTCCCAACAGTGCTCATCCACGATCCCACTTGCGGGATTAGAACCCAAAACCTTCGGTCATATTAACATTTAATAACTGAAAATATGAAAATTATGTCAAACTATTGATTATTGAGGTTAGAATAGACTGTACCTTCAAATAAAGTTCAAGTTAATAAAATACATAGGTTGTGAAAATCATACCAAACTGATAATGAATCATAACTGGAATAATATATTGTAAAAATCCAACTACATTTTGGCCTCATACTTTTTAATAAACAATAAACGTGTATACCACACTTTAAGATAAAATTGTACTTCATTCCTGAAAAAGAGAGGAAAAGTTGAGTGGGATAAAAGCACAGAAATAGGATGCCCACATGCCAGTATACGTCCCAGAGTCCGTCTATGTAAAACTTTAAAACTATTATTTGTCTTCCAATTATTCTTGACGAATAAGTGTAGAATAAGTATTCATGCCAGCTTGATGACTTTTGTGACTAGAAAATCTGATTGATACATACGTTATAGTTCGTTGACACTAATCCCGCTTCATTAACAAAATATTCCCAATTAGTTGCCCTAAATAGAGGTATACATGTGGACGGTACTATAAAAGTGATGAACACGCTGGTTGATCAGAGAGGAAACCAGTTCATATGGCACTTATTACACACCGAAATAAATTTCCGAATAGATGGGTAACTTAGATCTGTTCAACTAAGCTTTGGATACGATTTGTGTGGATTGGTGCTGTATAGTGAGAGAGAGCGTTGAGAAAATTCTAGTTGCAGACGGAGAATAGGACAATAAATAGGCCAACGGACAATCGCCATACAAATAAGGAACATTGTTAGTTTTGTATATTTCGCAGACAGATTAGAAGCTGCGTACTCGGGAGCGGGTTTTCGTCGTTGTATGCTGAATAGATATGGCTATTAGTGTTGTTAATTATGGTAACAGTTCTTGCAGCAGCCTCCATAACAGTTTCCACCTTGTCATCCACAACACCCACAGCATCTAGGGCATTGAGGACATTCACCAGGACAACAACCACCCTGACTGTCTGGTGCTGGTTCTGCAATCACTGAAAACGAAATAACACAACGTCACAATATGATTCACATGGAATATGACAGAGCAAAACAAAACAATTACATGCCTACACCTCTATTCAGCCCACTTCAACTCTGGTCACTTAACTACACGTTGTTCCACAAATCGACAACACACCGCATTACTATTCATTTCAGTCCTGTTGACTTCGCATCACTCCACTTCGCTTCAGTTGAACACATGACACAACACTGTTGTGTTTAACTGAAGGCTGAATCAGCAAGTGGGATACTTTTGTAATTACTCACCAGTAAGTGGCAACTTCATGTTATGCGATCGAGTAAGATAAGGCTCACCTGAGTTGTGACATTCGAATGATGCGACCACTACAACAAAGAAGAGCTGACATAAAAACACGGATCAGGCATATAGTATTACACACAACAGTATTTCAATATACTATGAAGATTTCTATTGTCGTTTGCTGTCAAATTATTGCTGACTGCATTCATTCGACCACGTTCGTGGATGTTGACGTTCGGAGCAAACACGTGCTCACGTGCTCAACCGAAACAATCCATTTAACTACATATGTAAATATATTTATGTGTATGTAAGTTAATATGCAGGTATATATGTATGTATGTATGTATGAAAAGACAATAACTTACGCTTCACTTTGTTCCATCGATTGCACGTGGTCCGTATGCCTTTCTGTTCAGATTATTTCGGTAATCACTGACAGGCAGGCTAGTGGGTTAGATGAGATCTAAGAATGCTTATGTGTGCATTTAAGTGGGTGTGTTTAAAATCGTCTCGGGAAATATGATTAGTACTGTGATGAATTTATGACTGGCTTGATTTTGTATACTAGTTATTTTCTATTTTATGTTGTGTTGAGGTCTAATTTGTTTGTATGTAATTCAAGTATGCGTAATATACATGATTCATACTTTAGAAGATGTGCTCTGGATTCAAACAGTCAGGTCTGGACAGAAGTACCAATCGGAACTCAGAGTTGACTCAAGGCTGCTCCTGCTGGTTTATCCGTCCTTGATTTGGTACAGTACTGAGGTCATATAAGTCGGTGCTCCAAGTGGTAGAATTAATCACACGATATAATAACCAAGGTCATAAGAACATAGCAGAAATAATTCTACTGCACCGAAATGAAACTTAAATAAAAACCACCACTCTCACTAAAGAAGTACAGGTGATTATAACAACTGTTTATACAGGATACACCATATCCATTAGTCAGAAACCATCGACAGTAACTTACTCTGGAAGAAAACAAGTCAACTGTCAGTTGAGGAGTAAATTCAAAGTAGATACTGGAGGTAAACACGATACACTATGCGAAATTGATCAAACTACATCTCAAGAAAAGTACTAAATTGGAAAAAATATGTACCAAAACACACATGGCACCTGGAATTCAAGCCAAACATTTTCGGATATACTTCTACGATTGACCGATCTGTTTAAGTCTAGTCATAATGAGACGATTTATTTGTTTGATATTTCTTGCATATTATTGGAAAATCAGTCATGTGTGGGTCAGTCTAAAATCTTACTGGCATCGGTAATATTATCTGTCACAATTATTATAATTAACAAAATAATGCTATTTTAGAAATATCAGAGTCTAATAGATTGACCACTTGAAAATGTGAACTTGAAAGTCAAGTCAAGCAGATAAGTAATGGAATTTTAGTATTCTGTAACGTCTGATAATTCATAATTAATGGAAAAGCAGATACTTTGTCTACACTTCACTTCTGATTTTCTTCATCTAAATTATTGATCGTGATTGCAGACACATTGTTTATACCTCACTTCAGCAGAAATTCACACTAATTACTAGGCAAGTAAAATGGATCTTTTGTGTGCTATACATGTTACGTATTTGGCAAAAAAAGCAAGTGCGAGGAGATTTCCATCTGAATGGCAATTTTAGTGCCTTAGCTTTTATTGATACATAGCATGAAATAAAAAATAAGGGTTACGTTGGATTTTCTTTGCATGTTCATTTATGTCTAAAATCCAAAGTTATCCTATTATAAATTATCGCTTACTAATATAGTCTTTGACTATATACCACAGCTGGAAGATTTCATAAGCAGGCGACCACTATCAGCAGTACTTTCAGGACAGAAAAAGTGACTTAATGCACTGAATCTCGAATATCAAAACGCATTTGCCAGAACCCTTGTCCATAAACTACTGTTGGAACAAGCAATATCCTACAAAACGTGGATTCCATTTTCAGATTGCTTACTAGATCCAGGAATTACATTGTATAGCTGAATCTTCACTTTAGCTACTGCTGTATTTTTCACAATTGCTACTAGATTTAGTTTCATCCAGGTCTATATTGCAGAGAAAATCATTTCTGTTGTTATTAACCTTTTCTATTTGATGATCCTCAGATAGTGTTGTTAGAGTTGTCATAAGGATGATTGACTTGGTTAAATGGATAAAAGAAGGTTATTTTGAAGATAATTACAAAACTTGGACTATCTTATTCAGTGATATTCAAAGAGAAGTTCAATCTTCTCAAACTGACTATAACTGAAGTAGTTTTACATCAGTTGTTCAAAATTCGCCATTTGATGAAGGATGAATTCAAAGGTTTCCGATTAGATGTTGTACATGTAACATAAGAGTTTAAAGCACTAAGCACGCCCATGGAGAACATAGTGTGTTGTATGGACTCGATATAATTATAATCTCCCTTAAAGTTGGTGGATACACAATTACTGATTAGATGGCTGTCGTCATTGAAGGAAAATCCTACTAATGTCTTTGCCAAAACTCTGTCTTGGACGAAGGTAGGTAAACTGCTAATCAGCTCAGACGGTCATTTCACCCAAAACCCTAATGCTAATATAACTTTTTTCACTATCTCGTATAGTTACAGATCCTTCTTTTTGCACTTTAAGATTATATCAATATCGACTTCATCCGGTGATTGACAGGCTAAAACTAACGTTCAGAAATCACCTACAAACTAAAGTTCATAATATATATTCTAGTGAACTGGAAGTTTTGAGTGTATAAATAAGCGTTACTACATGACAGAAACATCTTAAGCAACTATATTCTTTCTCGTTCTGACTATAGATGTTTCGTTGGTTGTCTCAAATTACATTTTCAATTGGTGGGAATTGTGTACAAATGAGTAGTGAGGGAAGCGGGTATTCAAGATATTTGGTGTGACAGACATGATATATATTGTTCGACTTATGAGGGTTTTTGCTTAGTATCTAGATGGTCAACAAGTAACAATCACCAGTTGAAGAGTATCACTGAAGCATCTACATTATTTTTCTATTGTTTAATTGTTACTAGCTTGAATCCATTAGTTAGGTGATGAGTGAATTACATATTTTAAATACTTAATTTGGTAGGTAATATTCACTTTTTGTTGGCGCAGTTATTGGGTTTTAGCCAACCTAATTACTATAATAATAACAAACTTATGTCTTCTGAGATTGAACTTACCAGTTTTATCCTACTCATGTATATGTAAACTTTCACCGCTTATGAAGACTTATAAGGTTACTTTTTGTTATCAAATAAATTTGAAATACAAAACTGCAAAACATACTGTCCAATTAACTAGATCGTAACTAATCAGTATGACACTCAACAGTGTATCAAAGTAAAGAAACTACTCAACTGAACGCTAGTTGAAACAAATATTTTCTAATTATCTCTGGAATTCCATTCAGTACATTGCCCAGTAAATTTCAGTCATATATTGTTTTTAATTCGTAGAAGTTTGCACCCT